CCCAACACTAAAAATTAAGAACGAAGAAGAAGAAGTGAGTACCATACTAAGATGGGATGGAGTGGTCTAGCGGTAGAGAGCTGGATTGCTAACCTGTAAGTCTCGAGTTCGAATCCGGGTTCAAGTTAGAAAACCGTCCTTGAGTCCACCCATCTCTAATGGGTACCTAACTCACGTTAGGGAAAGTAAAGGCGTCTGGGCATGGTGCTGACCACACTATCTCTTCATATGCCGAGGTCACAGAAACAAGCGAACTCTACGTCACTAGGCCCCATAGACCGTCAGGTTTGATAGGGAAACTTTTACCATACTAAGATGGGTACCTGACTTAAGTAATTATCGGACTCTGATGGGCAACTGACTGATGCGCACCTGACACAGGAAAGAAAGGCCGTGTACCGTAAAACGAAAGCGCAAAATAAGGTGAAGATTAAATAAAAGTGATCTTCTAAACATAAATATTTCCGCGAGTCTAGATCGAGCCCTTGTTACAAATAGTCTATTTTATATTTTTATTGGCAGTACATTATGACTTTCTATCAGGTGATTGTGTAAGCGGGGGGGGGGGGGTGATTGTGTTTGGGGAAGGTGGTTGTGGTTGGGGAAGTTGATTGTGTTAGGGGAAGTGATTGTGTTAGGGGAAAGTGATTGTGTTAGGGGAAGTTGATTGTGTTAGGGGAAGGTGATTGTGTTTGGGAAAGGCGATTGTGTGAGGGTAAGGTGATTGTGTTAGGGGAAGTTGATTGTATTAGGGAAAAGTGATTGTGTCTGGGGAAATTGATAAATTGATTGTGTTTGGGGAAGGCGATTGTGTTAGGGGAATGTGATTGTGTTTCGGGAAGGTGATTGTGTTAAGGGAAGTCGATTGTAATTGAGGGAGTTGATTGTATTTAGGGAAGGTGATTGTGTTAGGGGAAGATGATTGTGTTAGGGGAAGATGATTGTGTTTGGGATTGGTGATTGTATTAGGGGAAAGTGATTGTGTTAGGGGAAGTTGATCGTGTATGGGGAAGGTTATTGTGTTAGGAGAAAATAGGCTGTTGTAATAAGCTTGTAAATAAACTGAAAAGGAGATAATACATTTAAAAATCTTGCTCTCTATGCATTTGTCGCTAAAAGTTGTAACATATTCTATGAGCGACCGATGTTTTTATTTCGACCTGTTGTTAACTTAAAATTTACAAAGTTCGGGAACTCGAACTCCCCCATTATGTCCGCTACCCACTAGTTATTTCCCTTGGATTGATTATATTGATTTTTAAAGAACTCAATTACTATTTGAGTATCTAATAGGATTATAGTTGAAATATCCTTACGGTGTCACCAGCTATACACGTATGTTGACTCAGGTCAGTGGCGTCGCTAGGTCAGGTGTCACCCGATGCGGCACCTAATGGTGTCACACCCCCTCCCCAATAATAAAGTTTATATAATCTCTCTGTCTCTCTCTCTCTCTCTCTCTCTCTCTCTCTCTCTCTCTCTCTCTCTCTCTCTCTCTCTATATATATATATATATATATATATATATATATATATATATATATATATATATATATGTATGTATATATATATATATGTATATATATATATATATATATATATATATATATATATATATATATATATATATATATATATATATATATATATATATCTGTATGTAATACAGCTGTATGTAAAATTATTTTCTCTATAGTTTTCAGGTTTTGGTCCGGTGTCACCCCCTCCCCCATATCGGATTCTTTGAGTAGCACTTAATAAGATGTTTTTAACTCTAATTAATCATTAATTAATTTTCTACTATACATTTTTCATTTTTTTTGTCTTGGTGTCACCCCCTATATGGTGTCACCGGTGCGGTTCGACTCCCCGCCCCCGCCTTGCGACGCCTCTGACTTAAAATTTAAATTAATTTAATTTAATACCAAAAATAAATGGCGTCAAAGCTTGTTAAAACTGATGACAGTAGAACAGCAGTTGTACCCCAACTGTAAGGTGTGGTCGGACGGCAGAGCGTACGACTTCTTACGCGAAGGTCTCGAGACAGGTTCAAAATGGTAACTTCATCCACTTTTCCTGTTCGTTCACTGGATACGATGTTTCAGAGACATCGGCATGTGAAGGGATGGTGTGGTCAGCGCTATGCCCAGCCATCTCTACTTACTCTAACGTGAGTTAAGTACCTGTCAGTGCTGGGTGGATCTATGTGTGCTGGGTGGATCTATCAGTGCTGGGTGGATCTGTCGGTGTTGGGTGGATCTAAGAGTGATGGGTGGATCTATGAGTGCTGGGTGGATCTATGAGTGCTGGGTGGATCTATGAGTGCTGGGTGGATGTGTCAGTGTTGGGTGGATCTATGAGTGCTGGGCGGATCTATGAGTGCTGGGTGGATCTGTCAATGTTGGGTGGATCTATCAGTGCTGGGTGGATCTGTGAGTGTTGGGTGGATCTATGAGTGCTGGGCGGATCTATGAGTGCTGGGTGGATCTGTCAATGTTGGGTGGATCTATCAGTGCTGGGTGGATCTATCAGTGCTGGGTGGATCTATGAGTGCTGGGTGGATCTATGAGTGCTGGGTGGATCTATGAGTGAATGGGTGGATCTATCAGTGTTGGGTGGATCTATGAGTGCTGGGTGGATCTATCAGTGTTGGGTGGATCTATGAGTGATTGGTGGATTTATGAGTGCTGGGTGGATCTATCAGTGGTGGGTGGATCTATGATTGTAGGGTGGATCTATGAGTGTTGGGTGGATCTATGAGTGCTGGGTGGATCTACCAGTGTTGGGTGGATCTATGAGTGTTGGGTGGATCTATCAGTGTTGGGTGGATCTATCAGTGTTGGGTGGATCTATGAGTGCTGGGTGGATCTATCAGTGTTGGGTGGATCTATCAGTGTTGGGTGGATCTATGAGTGCTGGGTGGATCTGTCAATGTTGGGTGGATCTATGAGTGATGGGTGGATCTATGAGTAGTGGGTGGATCTATGAGTGCTGGGTGGATCTATGAGTGTTGGGTGGATCTATGAGTGAATTGGTGGATCTGTCAGTGTTGGGTGGATCTATGAGTGAAGGGTGTATCTATGAGTGAATGGGTGGATCTATGAGTGAATGGGTGGATCTATGAGTGCTGGGTGGATCTATGAGTGTTGGGTGGATCTATCAGTGTTGGGTGGATCTATCAAAGTTGGGTGGATCTATCAGTGCTGGGTGGATCTATGAGTGCTGGGTGGATCTATGAGTGGTGGGTGGATCTATGAGTGCTGGGTGGATCCATGAGTGGTGGGTGGATCCATGAGTGGTGGGTGGATCTTTAAGTGATGGGTGGATCTATGAGTGGTGGGTGGATCTATGAGTGCTGGGTGGAGCCATGAGTGGTGGGTGGATCTATCAGTGTTGGGTGGATCTATGAGTGCTGGGTGGATCTATGAGTGCTGGGTGGATCTATGAGTGATGGGTGGATCTATCAGTGTTGGGTGGATCTATCAAAGTTGGGTGGATCTATGAGTGCTGGGTGGATCTATGAGTGAAGGGTGGATCTATGAGTGAAGGGTGGATCTATGAGTGAATGGGTGGATCCATGAGTGAATGGGTGGATCTATGAGTGCTGGGTGGATCTATGAGTGTTGGGTGGATCTATCAGTGTTGGGTGGATCTATCAGTGTTGGGTGGATCTATCAAAGTTGGGTGGATCTATGAGTGCTGGGTGGAGCCATAAGTGGTGGGTGGATCTATCAGTGTTGGGTGGATCTATCAGTGTTGGGTGGATCTATCAAAGTTGGGTGGATCTATGAGTGCTGGGTGGATCTATGAGTGCTGGGTGGATCTATGAGTGCTGGGTGGATCTATGAGTGAAGGGTGGATCTATGAGTAAATGGGTGGATCTATGAGTGAATGGGTGGATCTATAAGTGTTGGGTGGATCTATGAGTGAATGGGTGGATCTATCAGTGCTGGGTGGATCTATGAGTGCTGGGTGGATCTGAGTGCTGGGTGGATCTATGAGTGCTGGGTGGATTTATGAGTGGTGGGTGGATCTGGGTAACATCACAGACCATATTGGCCAGGTAACATCACAGACCATATTGGCCAGGTAACATCACGGACCATATTGGCCAGGTAACACGACAGACCATATTGGCCAGGTAACATCACAGAACATATTGGCCCGGTAACATCACAGACCATATTGGCCAGGTAACATCACAGACCATATTGGCCCGGTAACATCACAGACCATATTGGCCAGGTAACATCACAGACCATATTGGCCAGGTAACATCACAGACCATATTGGCCAGGTAACATCACAGACCATATTGGCCAGGTAACATCACAGACCATATTGGCCAGGTAACATCACAGACCATATTGGCCAGGTAACATCACGGACCATATTGGCCCGGTAACATCACAGACCATATTGGCCAGGTAACATCACGGACCATATTGGCCAGGTAACACGACAGACCATATTGGCCAGGTAACATCACGGACCATATTGGCCCGGTAACATCACAGACCATATTGTCCAGGTAACATCACAGACCATATTGGCCCGGTAACATCATAGACCATATTGGCCAGGTAAGATCAGATACTATATTGGCCAGGTAACATCACAGACCATATTGGCCAGGTAACATCACGGACCATATTGGCCAGGTAACATTACAGACCATATTGGCCAGGTAACAGACCATATTGGCCAGGTAACATCACAGACCATATTGGCCAGGTAACATCACAGACCATATTGGCAAGGTAACATCACGGAACATATTGGCCAGGTAACATAACAGACCATATTGGCCAGGTAACATCACGGACAATATTGGCCCGGTAACATCACAGACCATATTGGCCAGGTAACATCACGGACCATATTGGCCAGGTAACATCACAGACCATATTGGCCACGTAACATCACAGACCATATTGGCCAGGTAACATAACAGAACATATTGGCCAGGCAAGACTAAGAAAACAATATTTTTCTGGATAAAAAATTGAAATATTTTATTTGCATTATCGGGTTTCCCTGAAAAGCTGGCGAGGAACGGAAAACTTCCGTCAATCGGAACTAAGGCTGTCTTCATCCGTGTCTTCGCTTGACTCGCTCCGTGGATTTCTTCTTCTTCTTCTCCTACCTCTGCGTCTCTACCAAAAAAATAAAATTCTCAAACAGTGGTCAGCTAATCAAATGATAAAAATCTAAAAATAAACATCAGGATTCCAACAGTCGTTGTGGACGCGTATTCTAGCAAGAAATAAATATTAAGGTCTCTACTAAACTAACAGTCGGTATCTATACAACCTGGCTGTCAATAGTGACTTACTTTAAAATAAGGTTCGTAACCCGACTATCAAAGGTCAGTGTACTCTCCTCCCCCCCCCCCAGCCCCCAACCTTTCATACATCAGTCAAGAAGTGTCATCCTGTCTCAAACTTACATTAAAGTTTTTGTTTTCTTCCACATCTTCGTCTAAATCTCCATCGTTCTTCTTTATTCTAGCACAAAAAATATAATAATTATTGTGCAAACGTAAGAACAAAATGCTTAGTGCTAAATAAATAATTCACCTCTGTATTGTATACCAGGAGGCAGCCATTTCTAGTGATCTGGCTAATTCATCTGTTTTCTAAAACAGGTGACAGCCGCTTCTAGCAATTGAGCCAATTCAAATGAGTATTCTATAATAGGATGCCGCCATTTCTAATGATCTAGCTAATTCACCTAGCATTACAACTAGTGACATGCTCGTCAGTGGCGTAGCGAGGTCGGGTGTCACCCGGTGCGGCACTTAATGGTGTCACCCCCCAGAGGCGTAGCGACCCTTCCCGGGGACAAACTTTCAAGTTTTCGATCGATTTGCACCCCCCCCCCCTCAAACTTTCGATTTGCACCCCCCTCAAGTTTTCGATTTGCACCCCCTCTCAAACTTTCGATTTGCACCCCCCCCCCTCAAGTTTTTCTCTATATATTTTGCTATTTTATGCCTTGGTGTCACCCCCCTAAATGGTGTCACCCGGTGCGGTCCGCACCCCCCCTCGCTACGCCCCTGACGCTCGTAACCCATGCATAAGACGTAATTTAAAGCTCGTTACATTTGTTTCGATGATAACAATGGATGTTAAATAAGTTATTTATGATTTTATGCTGGACCATACTTGTGTTATTTAATAACACAAGTATGGCGGAACACAACAGAAGTAGTGCTTTTTTGTGTGTGTGTGAACTAGACAGTTTGAAGACTGTTACATTTACAATATTTCAAATATAAGAATTAGATCCTATACGTAGGCTTTTTTTTTAAATTAGGTGATTTCCGTTATCCGGAAAAAGATACGTTGCTCGATTTTCGGTTTCTATAAGCCTTCATGATTTATTAATTTTATGTCGTATTTTCATAAAACAGCCTATTGTAAGAACTCTTCGTCTGATTATTTTTTTCTTTATTTTTTCCCTCCTTCAATAACAAGCGCTACCTGATTCCACAGGCAATGCCATTCGGTCCCTTCATGTTATATACGAATATACGAGAATGAGGTTTAGGGAAGTTCACACTCCGCTTTTTTTTACATAATACAAACGATAAAACAAAAAAAAACCTATACAATAGGGGGCAACAATCAATCAAACAAACAAACAAACAAACAAACAAAAAAACAAACAAACAAACAAACAAACAAACAAACAAACAGATGTTGCAAACAAAATAAAATCTTGTAAAAACCGAAGCAGCGAAAACTACATCACATCACCAGTGAACAAATCTGCTTACGAGTAGACGTAACAGGCGAAGGCTATGGTGAAGACCACAAACCCTACAACAACGGCAGCGATAATCAAACCCACGCTGCTCTCTGTTTCCGCTTTCGATTTCTCCTTAATCCTGGGGACTGATAAAAATATGGACTCTTCACAAAGAGGAACTATTTACACTTATTACATACAGTTTTGTTAATAGAAGTTATTACCGTGATTAGAATTGACTCAAATATACCTTGCTTTATAAAAGTGTTTGTGTATAATGAAAGTTTTGGCTAGTTTTCGTAGCTAATTTTTCTTTCTTAATCAAGCAAGTCATAGCAAGTTTATAAAATTGTATAGACTTAATTGTTCTTAAAACTGCTTTATATTGTTCGAAGATTGTTGTGTTAGAGAAAGCTTTTGGTATTTTAAAATATTTTGGTGCTTAAACTTTTTTTTTGGCTGTTTAAAAATGATTTAGTATTTAAAAATGGCTTGGTATTTAAATAATGTTTTCGTTGTTAAAAGATTTTTTATGTGCTTAAAATGTTTTTGGTGTTAAAACTTATTTGTGAATGCCTATTACTAGTGTTATAAAACGTTTTGAATGTTTGGATGAATTTTGGCTGATTTGTATTTTTTGTTATATTTTAAAAAATTACGTTTCTTTTTTATTTTAAAAACTCTGTTTTATAAACCTTTTAAAAGTACAATGGTAATTCGTTAATCTAATTAAAAATAGGCCCGTACTTAAGGTTAAATATTAATTAGTTTATAAATCTATAAAAAATTGTCTAGTTTAAATTTTATTTTTGTCATTATGCGCAAAAAAAAAACAACTGTGTTTAAAATTATAATTTAAGTCTTTCTCATTTACATAACAACATCTTCTTAGTTCAGAGGCGTACCGACGGAGAGATTGGGGGCGGGGTACATATGTCCCCGGACGCCGACCCTAGGGGTGCCAAAATAAGCTCATTTCAGCTACTAATTTGAATTATAAATATAAAAAATATATGGGGGGGGGGGGGCAAATTGAATGAAAGTTTGTTCCCTGGGCGTATGGAAGGGTCGATACGCCTCTGCCTTAGTTGAATTACCATCTTATTATGAGAAATTTCTGTTTTAATAAAGAAAGTAGCCGCTTTAATTTTTTTTTACTATTTTTTTTAACCGTAAGCAATTAAAAACTATTTTAAAAACGCTAGAAATGTTTACGTTCTAAAATGGCCACTTCCTCCTTGAGCCCGCCGGACGAAGGCTGCCGCTTGTCACCCCCGGGCAGGTTAATCACCGCCACCTTGTCCGTCTCCTCCTTGTTGGCGTCCTCCCCGGGCTGTCTGGCTCTTTTCTTGGCCAGCAGGTCCGTCAGAGACCCCAGGGACTCCTGTTCTTCGTCTTTTAACTTCACTTCAAAATTTTCTCCGGCTTTCATCAAGAAAAAAAAAATTATTTTCAAAGACTTTCATCAAGTAAACTATTAAAAAACATTTTTTTAAAATTTTCACTGACTTTCATCAAGAAAACAAATTTAAAAATATTAATTTTTTTCACTGAATTTCATCAAGAATACAATTAAAAACATTTTTTCCCCACTGACTTTCAAAGGAAACAATTCTAAAAACAAATTTTATTTTAAGTTTTCACCAAGAAAACAAATTTAAACATATTGTTTAATTTTCACCGACTATCATAAAAAAAACAATTAAAAACACTTTTATTTTCAATGACTTCCATTGAGGAAACAATAAAAAAAAAACCATTTTATTTTCACAATTTTCTTCAATGACAGAAAGCGTATTTTATTTTCACTGACTTTCATTACAGAAACAATAAGTAAAAACATATTTTGTTGTCAGTTCTCATCAAGTGAACAAGGAAACAGTGAGAAAAACACATTTTATTTAACCAATACTACAAGATCTTTTCATAAACTAACAATAAACCGTAAATTAATTTTAAAAAATTAAAGAATTTCAATTTGACTTACGTGGAAATTGGGGCTGCAGCCACGTGGCGCCCAGGAAGGCGGACTTGGACCAGCGTCTGAAGTTTGGCGCCCTCCCTGTAGACCGACCCGGGAATTTAAAAACAAGAAATAGGATAGAAATCAAACAAAACAATACAACCTGCCCTGGTTCTATGTTAACTAGCGCTTTGCATCATAGACAAATATAGCTTCGGTGTCAGGGGGGGGGGCGGGGTGTCTTTAGGGTTTCTTTCAGACATTTCGCTGCGTGGGGGGAGGGGGGGGAGACTTGAACGTTCTGAAGGGGGGTAGGGGAGTCTATGGTTAAAGAAACATTGGCTGTCTGCAGGGTTTGTTTTTAGACATTTTGCTGCCGGGAAGAGAGGGGACACTTGAAGTGGAGGGCAGTGGCGTAGCGAGGGGGGGGGGGCGGGGGTGCGGACTGCACCGGGTGACACCATTTAGGTGACACCAAGGCAAAAAATAGCAAAAATTATAGAGAAAATGATAATTCCACTTAATTAAGCGATTAATTCGAGTGATAAAAAGTCTTTTAAGAGCAAATTTGACAAATCCCGACAAGGGTGGAGGGGTGCAAATCGAAAGTTAGAGGGGTGGGGGGGGGGGGGTGGGGTGCAAATCAAAAGTTTGAGGAAGGGGGGTGCAAATTGGTAGTTTGTCCCCGGGCGCCGGGAAGAGCACTACGCCACTGCTATAGGGCTATGGTTAAAAAAAAAACACTGGCTGTCTTAACCTAGATCTGCATACAAAAGCTACTGGTTCAAATTTGGCTAAAAATAACAAGTGTTGAAAATAGAAATGTTGGTAGGCTATACTTGATGTTCACATAGGCCAACACATTTGCTCAAAACACATTACACACACACAGAGGCGTAGCGAGGGGGGGGTGCGGACCGCACCGGCTGACACCATTTAGGGGGGTGACACCAAGGCAAAAAATAGTAAAATATATAGAGAAAAATTTGAGGGGGGGGGGAGGTGCAAATCGAAAGTTCGAGGGGGGTGCAAATCGAAAATTGAAAGTTTGTCCCCGGGAAGAGTTGATACGCCTCTGGGGGGTGACATCATTAAGTGCCGCACCGGGTGACACCCGACCCCGCTACGCCACTGCACACACATATGAAGCACAAGAGTAGCGTTCTTGTATAGACCGAAATCAAATGTCCCGAGTATATAAATTGATATGCAGCTATATTTAGCGGACATATCTGTACATCGAGATAGACTTTTTGAAATGGCGCTTGGACATTTTAAAATTTACAAGCGCTGTAGAATGCAGCCGAAATCAATCCAAAGCAATATAATCGTTTTAGAATTAAGATTACAGTACTAATCCTTAGGATTAACACTTTACCTGTTGAACCACCCAGCTTAAACCCAACTCTAAACAGCGAAAGATAGCCACGGGTCATGTAGGCTAGATAACAATGGACGTCTGTTTACCGTTTCGTCGATAACTATCCCATCCTTCCCTAATTAGACCCTTGAGACTATCCTACAGTACACCGTCTTCCACCCCCCTCTACCCCATTTTTACACACGTGGAATGACCCAATGACCCATACATTACAGTGGATTCGCCCAGACACGGCGAGCACAGCTGTGTAGTGATAACAACTGTGTTGTTTGTTGTTCGTCTAATTTGACTAATTCGTATCAGAGGCGTAGCGAGGTCGTGGGGGGGGGGGGGGGGGTGCGGACCGCACTAGGCGACACCATTTAGAGGGGTGGCACCAAGGCAAAAAATAGCAAAATATATAGAGAAAATTGATAATTCCACTTAATTAAGTGATTAATTCGAGTGTTAAATAGTTTTTTAAGAGGTGCAAATCGAAAGTTTGATTAGGGGGGGGGGGGGGGGGGGGGGGCGGAGGGGCAAATCCAAAGTTTGAGGGGGAAATCGAAAGTTTGAAGGGGGGGGGGGGGGTGCAAATCGAAAATTGAAACTTTGTCCCCGGGAAGGGTCACTACGCCTCTGGTGGGTGACACCATTAAGTGCCACACCGGGTGACATCCGACCTCGCTACGCCGCTGAATTCGTATAACGAAACGATGCTGTGGGCCTAAATTTATATCAGATGGTAGCAGGCGTTACACGGAGCAAAGGTCACTGTTAGATGTGGTTTTGTTGACAGTCCGATGTCAAGTCTGATCCAGCCCTACCCCCCCCCCCCCCCCCCCCCCACACACACACCACAATAACACGTGCAACCAATCACACCTGTCAACGAATTGTAAACTGAATAACGAGCTGGGAAGGAGACTCATCTCTATCTACGAAAAATCAATATGCCACGTTGATAATTGCGAGATTTTATGTACGCGCAAAAAAGAAAAAAAATTGAATTGATTATCTGTTAACACAATAAAGCACCACCAATAGATGTTAACATAATACACAAACACATAATTGTCTAAAATATTTTACATTCATGAAATGCATGTTGTATTATAGTTAGGATATGAGTTCATTTTCAACGTATTATTTGTATTTTAAATAAACAATGAAAACGTTATGAATATATATTTATGTCGTCTGCTAACCCGAAAGTCTCGAGTTCGAATCTCGAAGCTCGAGTAAGTACGACGTCTCTGTGTCTACTCAGCTCTAATGCGTACCTGACTCTCGTTAGGGAAATAATGATAGATGGGCATATGGCTGACTACACTATTCACATGTATGCTGTTGTCGTTGAAAAAGTTGAACTCTGTTTCATCCACCCTATCTATCTTGGGCACGAAAAGAAGATGGTGTAGGTCTATACTTTTTTCTATGTAATTGGAGTTTTGCTTTAAATCAGTTTTACAAGCAGATGTTGTGCAAACAAATGTGTAACTCTTCTATTTGTTATTTTTCTTCTATAAACCATTCACATAGCTATCGCACACTAACGTTTTAAATAGACGAATTGTACAATGACATAAAAACTGACCTATCGGAGGATAACAATTTCTTTCTCAACTACTGAACCCTGACATTTTAAATTGACCCCCTCTATACTATAGGGCTGGTAAGTAGGTCACCAACCTGTTCTATGGCTCATGCAGGTTTTATTGAGCTGTAGAACTGGTTCGTGACCTACTTACCAGCCCTATAGTTTGTATACAACAAACATTTTAAACTACATGTCCAACAATAATTTTTAAAATATTTCTATCGAACATAGACATTGTTAACTGGCCTAAAACACTGATGATTTACTAAAGTGACCTACCAAACGCTGACATATCAAAGAGGTCTCTCAAACACGGGCATATTAAACTGACCTATCAAACACTGACCTACCAAATACTGACCCACTAAACTGACCTACCAAAGACTGACCTACTAAACTGACCTATCAAACACTGACCTACCAAAGACTCAGGGCGTAGCGAGGGGGGGGGGGGGGGCGGGGGTGCGGACCGCACCGGGTGACACCATTTAGGGGGGTGACACCAAGGCAAAAAATAGCAAAATATATAGAGAAAAACTTGAGGGGGGGTGCAAATCGAAATTATGAGGGGGGGGGGGTGCAAAAATCGAAAATTTGAAAGTTTGTCCCCGGGAAGGGTCGCTACGCCTCTGGGGGGGGGGTGACACCATTAAGTGCCACACCAGGTGACACCCGACCTCGCTACGCCACTGCAAAGACTTACCTACTATACTGACCTACCAAAGATTGATCTATTAAACACTTACCTACCAAACACTGACCTACCAAACACTGACTCACTTAACTGACCCACTAAACTGACCTACCAAAGAGTGACCTACTAAACTGACCTACCAAACACTGACCTACCAAACACTGACCTACTGAGCTGACCTACCATGACCTACTGAACTGACCTACTGAGCTGACCTACTGAGCTAACCTACCATGACCTACTGAACTGACCTACCATGACCTACTGAACTGACCTACCATGACCTACTGAACTGACCTACCATGACCTACTGAACTGACCTACCATGACCTACTGAACTGACCTACCATGACCTACTGAACTGACCTACCATGACCTACTGAACTGACCTACCATGACCTACTGAACTGACCTACCATGACCTACTGAACTGACCTACCATGACCTACTGAACTGACCTACCATGACCTACTGAACTGACCTACCATGACCTACTGAACTGACCTACCATGACCTACTGAACTGACCTACCATGACCTACTGAACTGACCTACCATGACCTACTGAACTGACCTACCATGACCTACTGAACTGACCTACCATGACCTACTGAACTGACCTACCATGACCTACTGAACTGACCTATCTCGAATGTAGCCCACTGGATGCCCTGGTTCTTGTTGCCCGTGCAGCCCATACTGTCGTCCCCAGCACAGGGGATGTTGCACCAGGAGAGCATCGTGTTCTTGGCGCCGGTCACTGAGTTACTGCAGCAGCAACGGTCGTCTCCCTGGTGCGGTACAGGGCGGAGTGTGACTCAGGGTGGGGTACAGGGTGGGTGGGGGTACAGGGGTGGGGGTACAGGGTGGGGGTACAGGGTGGGGGTGACGTCCCCAGCACAGGGGATGTTGCACCAGGAGAGCATCGTGTTCTTGGCGCCGGTCACTGAGTTACTGCAGCAGCAACGGTCGTCTCCCTGGTGCGGTACAGGGCGGAGTGTGACTCAGGGTGGGGTACAGGGTGGGTGGGGGTACAGGGGTGGGGGTACAGGGTGGGGGTACAGGGTGGGGGTGACGTCCCCAGCACAGGGGATGTTGCACCAGGAGAGCATCGTGTTCTTGGCGCCGGTCACTGAGTTACTGCAGCAGCAACGGTCGTCTCCCTGGTGCGGTACAGGGTGGAGTGTGACACAGATGTGGGGTACAGGGGTGGGGTACAGGGGTGGGGTACAGGGGTGGGGGTACAGGGTTGAGTGTGACACAGGGGTGGGGTACAGGGGTGGGGTACAGGGAGGAGTGTGACACAGGGGTGGGGTACAGGGATGGGGTACAGGGTGGGGGTACAGGGGTGGGGTACAGGGGTGGGGGTACAGGGTTGAGTGTGACACAGGGGTGGGGTACAGGGATGGGGTACAGGGGTGGGGTACAGGGGTGGGGTACAGGGCTGGGGTACAGGGAGGAGTGTGACACAGGGGTGGGGTACAGGGATGGGGTACAGGGTGGGGGTACAGGGGTGGGGTACAGGGGTGGGGTACAGGGTGGAGTGTGACACAGGGGTGGGGTACAGGGTGGGGGTACAGGGTGGGGGTACAGGGGTGGGGGGGGGTACAGGGCGGAGTGTACACAAGGGTGGGGTACAGGGCGGAGTGTACACAGGGGTGGGGTAAAGGGTGGGGGTGGGGGGTACAGGGGTATGGTACTGGGGTGTGGGTAAAGGGTGGGGGTACAGGGTGGAGGTACAGTGTGAGGAGTATAGGGTGGGGGTACAGGGCGGAGTGGATGCGCAGTGTAGGGAGGGGGTAAAGTGTGGGGTACAAGGTGGTGGCATATAATGTGGGTGCGGTTCAGGGGTGGGGGTAGAGGGTGGGTGGGTTACAGAGGTGAGGGCTTGCTAAGGTAGGTAGTTGATGTGATTGGTTCGCTCTAGTGTTTCTTTTAGATACTTTTTCTCCATGGGTGAGGGGGTTTTCGAGGGTGGGGGCATGTTAATCTCCGGGGTCGGAGTGAACACTATTTAAGGTAAATTAGTTATAGATTAAGTATTTTTTTCCTATTTCGTCAATGTCGGGGGGGGGGGGGGGGTCACTACAAAAACTAAAGTTTTATTGGCGAGCTGAGGCTGCCTCCCCTTGTTCCAACAGGGGGTTAACAAGAATCATACGACGCCTCTGACTCACCACTGCGTTGTGAATGCGTCATCGTCCTGACTCACCGTGGTCGTGCTGAACTTGGTCTGGTACATGGCGTCGCAGTAGTAGATACACAGAGGCACCGACATCCGTTCTGTCCGCAGGGGGGCGAAGTCTTTAGGGCACAGGATCAGCATGGAGTCTTTCCTGGCATAGCACCCGATGTTGGCTGAATGAGGGGGGTCAAAGGTCGTAATGGTGGTGGCGAAGGTAAAGGTTAATTGACAGCAAACATGGTGGAAGTATTAGGGGTCGCTATGTACTGATATGATGGGCGTCAGGGGTAGCTATGTACTGATATGATGGGTGATAGGGGTAGCTATGTACTGATATGATGGGCGCTAGGGGTCGCTATGTACTGATATGATGGGCGCTAGGGGTCGCTATGTACTGATATGAAGGGAGCTAGGGGTCGCTATGTACTGATATGATGGGAGCTAGGGGTAGCTATGTACTGATATGATGGGAGCTAGGGGTCGCTATGTACTGATATGATGGGCGCTAGGGGTCGCTATGTACTGATATGATGGGAGCTAGGGGTCGCTATGTACTGATATGATGGGAGCTAGGGGTAGCTATGTACTGATATGATGGGAGCTAGGGGTCGCTATGTACTGATATGATGGGCGTCAGTGGTCGCTATGTATGGATATGGCTGACGACACGGTCAATATTTACTAATACGGTGGATTTTCATATACATATATGGTGAACATCACATCATAGGTCATAGTTTACAGACCAGGGTAGATGGGTGCTAAATATCAATACACAGATCGAAGAAGGCATCAAGACAAGAATTGAGTTGACCTGTCCATACCCTCCAACATCATGGCTCTAATCCCCTGGTGTGTTTAAATATATGGGACGGCGTAGCCTAGCGTAAGAGCACTAGACTGCTAACCCGAAAGTCTCGAGTTCGAATCAGGGGTTGAAGTTAATAGAGCGTCATTGAGTCTACCCAGCTCAGATGGGTACTTAATGTTAAGGAAAGCAGAAGCGGCTGGGCGTAGTGCTGAATAAACTATCCTGTCATATGCCGAGGTCTCGGAAACAGATGAACTCTACTTCATCACAAACGGGAAAGGTGATGATGATGATGATGTTGATGATGTTTATGATGATGTTGATGATGTTTATGATGATGACGATGATGTTGATGATGATGATGATGATGATGATGTTTATGATGATAATGATGATGTTGATGATGTTGTTGATGATGATGATGTTGTTGATGATGATGATGATGTTGATGATGATGTTGATGATGTTGATGATGTTGATGATGATGTTGATGATGATGTTGATGATGTTGATAATGATGTTGATAATGATGTTGATGCTGTCGATGATGATGTTGATGATGATGTTGATGATGATGATGATGATGATAATGATGATGTGTCACGATGTACTCACCCTTTAGCAGCGAGAATCTCTCCATGGCAATGACCGGCTCTCTGACATAGCCTGTAAATAACAGAGAAAACAGTCTACGTAGATTTAACGATTAATAAACACCGTTACTTATCCAAAACATTCTTTGCAGCGTTTGTTTATGTTTTACACTGATGATTATATCACGCATCTAATTTATTATTGTGTTAGGTTTAACACATGAAACTCTTAAAAAGAAAAAATTAAGCAAAACAGAAACCCCGAAAAAAGAGCTCTATTCATAACTTAATTAGAATATTTTGTATAATTTCTTTAGAAACGTGTATTCTTTAACTTCGTAGGAATTTCAAGACCCACAATTACATTTTAAAACAAATACAAACTTGCTGAGTCTGAAACCATTCCAAAATCTTAAACAAAATCAAAAACACCCCTACATTAGAACAAATGCTTAAATCCTAAGTCTGAAACCAAATGACCCTATTTTCCCAGTGGGGCAATACAAAACTCCTAAGTCTATAATCAAATATTCCCCACTACAATAACAAAAGTTTTAAATCTGAAACCATATAATCCTCCGACCTTAAAGCAAATAAAGTCCTAAGTCTAAAACCAAAGATCCACCCTAAGTTGAATCAATAAAAAAAATTCTCAACTCCACCCTACATTAAATCAATAACAAAAGTCCTAGGTCTAAAACCAAAGATCCACCCTACATTAAATCAATAACAAAAGTCCTAAGTCTAAAACCAAAGATCCGCCCTATAACAAAAGTCCTAAGTCTAAAACCAAAGATCCGCCCTATAACAAAAGTCCTAAGTCTAAAACCAAAGATCCACCCTATAACAAAAGTCCTAAGTCTAAAACCAAAGATCCACCCTACATTGAATCAATAACAAAAGTCCTAAGTCTAAAACCAAAGATCCGCCCTATAACAAAAGTCCTAAGTCTAAAACCAAAGATCCGCCCTATAACAAAAGTCCTAAGTCTAAAACCAAAGATCCGCCCTATAACAAAAGTCCTAAGTCTAAAACCAAAGATCCACCCTATAACAAAAGTCCTAAGTCTAAAACCAAAGATCCACCCTACATTGAATCAATAACAAAAGTCCTAAGTCTAAAACCAAAGATCCGCCCTATAACAAAAGTCCTAAGTCTAAAACCAAAGATCCGCCCTATAACAAAAGTCCTAAGTCTAAAACCAAAGATCCACCCTATAACAAAAGTCCTAAGTCTAAAACCAAAGATCCGCCCACCTGTCTTGTAGACCGACAGGGCGGTGTCTCCCCCACAGGCCTGGTAGCAGTTACCTGGACATCGCCTGTCGCAGGTTTCTATCGGCACCCTGGCCGTGTCTTTGATGGACATCCCACAAAAACAGAGGTTACCTTTCTAAAAACAAAACAAAAACAAAAGAAATACATTTCTTTAAAAATAGGGATACCCTTCTGCATACAACTAAAAGTAATAACTGTTGAAGAACTTAACCTTACCTGTGAAGACACATTGCCTAACATACAGATAAACATCGAATGTCCCATTAAAAAGCATTGACTTGCCTGTAAAGACCTCACATTAAAAGACCCATCAAATCACCTTTCAAGATCCATCACCTCATCCATAAAGAACCATCACCTCACCTGCAGATACACCTCACCTGTAGAGACACCTGGCCTAACCTGCAGAGACACCTAGCCTCACCTGCATACACACCTGGCCTCACCTGCAGACACACCTGGCCTCACCTGCAGACACACCTGGCCTCACCTGTAGACACACCTGGCCTTACCTGCAGAGACACCTGGCCTCACCTGTAGACACACCTGACCTCACCTGCAGTCACACCTGTCCTCACCTGCAGACACACCTGACCTCACCTGCAGACACACCTGGCCTCACCTGCATACACACCTGGCCTCACCTGTAGACACACCTGGCCTTACCTGCAGAGACACCTGGCCTCACCTGTAGACACACCTGACCTCACCTGCAGACACACCTGTCCTCACCTGCAGACACACCTGACCTCACCTGCAGACACACCTGCCCTCACCTGCAGACACACCTGGCCACACCTGCCATCACCTGCAGACACACCTGGCCACACCTGCAGAGAAACCTGCCATCACCTGCAGACACACCTGGCCTCACCTGCATGCCGGCGTAGAAAAACCTCAGCTTCCAGCAGCGGAAGACGCACATCTTAACCTCAAGCTGCAGGGCGCCATAGTCTTTGGCCAGCGTCTTGAAGGACTCGCTACCCTCTGCTACCTTCAGACAGCCGACAGCCTTGACCTCGTTGATGTTGATTGAGGTCGCTAGATGGGAGGGAATAGGATGGGGTGTTGACGGTATGAGGTGGGGGAGGGGAGTTTAAGGGTTGGGAGAGGGGGTTTATGGGTTGGTAGAAAGGGGGTTTATGGGTTGGTAGAAGGGGGTTTATGGGTTGGGAGAGGGGGGTTTATGGGTTGTTAGAGGGGGGTTTATGGGTTTGTAGAGGGGAGTTTATGGGTTGGTAGAGGGGGGTTTATGGGTTGGTATAAGGGGGTTCACGGGTTGGCAGAAGAGAGATTATGGGTTGATACAGGGGAGTTTATGGGATGAGGGGGGTTTATGGGTTGATAGAGGGGGGTTTATGGGTTGGGAGAGTGGAGTTTATGGGTTGGAGGAGGGGGTTTATGGGTTGGTAGAGGGGGGTTTATGGGTTGGTAGAAGAGAGATTATGGGTTGATACTGGGGAGTTTATGGGATGAGGGGAGTTTATGGGTTGGGAGAGGGGGGGTTTATGGGTTGATAGAGGGGGGTTTATGGGTTGGGAGAGGGGGGTTTATGGGAGGGGAGGGGGGTTTATGGGTTGGGAGAGGGAGTTTATGGGTTGGTAGATGTGAGTTTATGGGTTGGGGGGGGAGTTTATAGGATGAGGGGAGTTTATGGGTTGGGATAGGGGGGTTTATGGGTTGATAGAGGGGGGTTTATGGGTTGGGAGAGTGGAGTTTATAGGGTTGGGAGAGGGGGTTTATGGGTTGGTAGAAGAGAAATTATGGGTTGATACAGGGGAGTTTATGGGAGAGGGGGGTTTATGGGTTGATAGAGGGGGGTTTATGGGTTGGGAGAGGGGGGTTTATGGGTTGGTAGAAGGGGGTTAATGGGATGAGGGGGGTTTATGGGTTGATAGAGGGGAGTTTATGGGATGGGATAGGAGGGGGGGGGAGTTTATTGGTCGGTAGAGTAGAGTTTATGGGTTGATAGAGGGGAGTTTATGGGATGAGGGGGGTTTATGGGAGGGGAAGGAGTTTATGGGTTGGTAGAAGGGGGTTTATGGGTTGGCAGTAGAGAGATTATGGTTTGATACAGGGGAGTTTATGGGATGAGGGGGGTTTATGGGTTGATAGAGGGGAGTTTATGTGTTGGGAGATAGAGATACGAAGGGAGAGGTGAGCTAACCAGATAATATAAGTGAGGGGGCGGGGTCAAAAGGATGGTATTGGAGAGAAGATGGGATGTGAGACAGGGGTTAACAACATCATATGAGAGATTCTTACCACATGGGAATAGAGAAGGGAGTTTACACAACATTTGCAATGTGAACTTATAAAAGTACTTCAGTAGCCACTGAAAAATGTTGAACAAATTTTTATAGAACCACTCTACTCCAAATACTTAAATAAACTGTATACAGCTTAACGTATACAGCCATACCGGCTATAGTGAGTAGATTCCACACAGAAAAGTTCCTGGCGGTCCAAGGGTAGGTAAAGTAGTTTATCTGTTTCTGTGACCTCGGCGTATGACGGGATAGTGTGGTCAGCTCTATGCCAACCCGCCTTTAGTTTCACTAACATGTTGAGTACCCATCAGAGCTGGATGGACTCAGGGATGTTCTACTAACTTGGACCGGATTCGAACTCGAGACTTTCGGATTAGCTGTCTAGGGCTCTACAGTTAGGTCCAGAGCTTCTTCCAGGCATCTGTTGGGGGAGGTCGAAGCCCCCCCCCCCCCGAATTTTTTTTACCGCCCCCCCCCCCCCCGAACGAAATGAAATTTATATAATTTATATTGAAAATTTATACTTTTAACAGTGTCCGCCCTCCCCCCCCCCCCAAAGAAAGTCTACCCCCCCCCCCTCCCGAAAATTTCAAGTGCCCCCCCCCCCCCTCCGGATAAAAAAGTCTGGAAGAAACACTGGTTAGGTCACGCCTAGATTCTATATACACTAATGTATTATCCAGTTGTCGATCTCACTACGGAAAGATGGCGTATATCTGCTCCCGTTTGAGATAGTAGTTACATGCAGTTATCGTACACTTAGAATCGAAGCTACATGGCGGTCATTGATTATTGGATTACGATAATGGGACGGCGTGGTCGAATAGTAGAGCGCTTGGCTGCTAACCTGAAGGTCTGCAGTTCGAATCCCTTTACGGACTTGTGACTGTAGTCACACCCAGCTCTGTTGGGTACTTGATTGACTTAGCTTAGCCCCCCCCCCCTCCCCGAAGAACGTCTACCACCCTCTCCACCCCCCCCCCTCCAAAAAAGGTCTGAAAGAAACACTGTTCTGTGTTAAGACAGGGGGGGTCTTTACTCTGAAACTAGGTACTGATAACTAGTTATATAGTTATATAGTTATGTGGTACCCTATAACGGTAAAGAATGGAATCCTAACTAGCGACTTACCATCCGATTTGCTATACGTCAACATAAATACTACTACTAAGGCTATTTTTATAAACTGCATGACTATACTCTTCTACGTTGTGAAACATACATCAATTAATAATGTTTTTGAAAGAGAAAGAACTTCCGTTCATGTGAAGTAGTAAAATGTTTACATAGGTGTCAAACTCATGGTATTTAGCGAAATTTCCATACTGGAATTGAGATTATTAATTCGTTATTTCTGGATGGATGGATGGATGGATGGATGGATGTGTGTCCGCAATGGACGGATGTGTGTCCGCAGCTTTAAGTCGTATCTCCTCCTCAACGAAGCAATATCGAGGACTAGTTCCAAAAGCAAATATGTTAAGCAAGTTCCGAGGATGATTGTGGGCCAAGCAAATTCCCGGAATTCCTTCCTGGATTTCCCGGAAAAGCCAAAAAACCTCGAAAAAAATGCAGTTTTTGGCCCATATCTCGGCAACCAGACCACTTAGCGACTTGAAACATTTACCAATGTCATAATTTAGATCAATATTGCAGAAGAAAGTTTTCAAAAATATCCTTTCGTTCGGTCACAAAAAATTAATTAAGAACAAATAAATTTATATTTATAGGATGATATTTACTATTATTAACTTGTTTAAACTGAGCATCGTGTAGGCCTACTCGTTAAAATAAAACTATTTCCGTTGATATAGGTTAATGTAGTTGTCTTTATTTTTTACTTATTAATTCAAACGTTATTTTTGTACCTTATTAAATAATAGATATTTTTTCTATTTTGTTTTGAATTATTAAAACTACTTGTGTTGCATTATTTATTTGCTGAATATATGATTTATCTCGATTTAAAATTGTTATGGATAGCATAAGGAAATTGCGCTTAAATTGTCACTAGACTTTTTATTAACTTGTTTTTTTTTAAAATCAAATCGCGTTCCTTTACAAAACAAGCTATAACTGGAACCCCGTTGGGGACCCTCACACTTATTTTATATTAACTATAAACTGTAGTAGAAATATTAATTTTTTTTTATTTCTTTAAAATTTTTAGAGCAATTGGGCTATAGAAATAATTAAGCTTTTAACAAAACCGCTAGTTTTTTTAAGAATACACAATCAACTGAAAATGTCTAAGAATTTGCTTTCTGATAATATGGTATAAATTCATTAAATTCAGTAGGTCTTTGTGAAATCGTCCACATAACCTAAACGGCGCTCTAGTTATAGACTTTTCTAGAAACCGGAAGTAGAGTTAGCACCACTTCCGGTTACATGTATTTTTGACAAACTGAAACGGTACTCAAGTAATCGTGTTTACATAATTTAAATTCAAATGTATTCAAATTTATTCAAAAAACGGTAACAAGTGTAGGCACGAAGGCCTTTTTACATGCATACACACACAAAAGCATGAACCCACCCACTCATGCACGCACCTAATTACACATGTACGCACAAACGCACACACACACATACAGAACAACAGGATTAAAAATCAAAGTTTGTCAACATCTGGATTAAGATTTTCGCAGGATTACAATGCACGATTTAAATTCCGTATGCGATAAAGTTGGGAGCAGAAACTCTCCAATTATCTGTTCACGAGCCGACCCGCGGCATATCATACGCCGCTATTTAGTTGTTTTATTTTTCTACTTTTCAGTAATTCATAATTTGTGAATTCGACAGTACCAATGCTGACACTAAATATTAGCTTTAAAACACTATCAGTAGGTCGTTAAGGACGATACTACCCCCACCCTCCTTTCCCCCAACCCTTACCCTACACCCCCTCCCCGTGAAAGCAGCCTCCTCTTTTTTACCTCCCCTAAGTTTAAAATCGTTTCAAACTAAATTACCTGCCCCTAATAGCCGTCACTAAACCCGGCTCTACGAATGTAAACATTTAGCGTGAACCACAGCTCACCAGACCATGTAGGGGTGGGGTGGTAGGGAGCACGCTTACAGCTTGTTTTCTAGCGTCTCCAAGAAGAGAATTATATATATAGATTATTCATCACGATTGCAACACATCCTTTATACTCTTTATACGAGAAAATAAAAAAGTTGCAACAAACAACTTAATAAAGAAGAGATGTTCAAAACCTATCTAAAAAATTACCTATTGGGTAAAAAAATTTTGACCCGTGACGTAGCGAGGTCGGGTGTCACCCGGTGCGGCACTTAATGGTGTCGCCCCTCAGAGGCGTGGCGACTCTTCCCGGGGACAATCATTCAGATTTCAATTTCCACCCCCACCCCCCCCCCCCCCTTGAGCTTTCGATTTGCACCCCCCCTCAAACTTCACACCCCCCCCCCCTCAAATTTTTCTCTATATATTTTACTATTTTTTGTCTTGAAGTCACCCCCCTAAATGGTGTCACCCGGTGCAGTCCGCAACCCCCGCCCCCCCCCCCCTCTCGCCAGGCCTCTGATTTTGACTAAATAGCAAAAATAATGGCAATCACTGTTTTCCAACCTACTCAATTTATATTCTTCATTTTTTTTTTTTTTTTTTTTTTTCAAAGTTTGCATTTTTTAAAAAGATTTTCTAAATATATTTAATTTGTAATTTAAAAAAAATTTCTTTAATATTTGTTCCTAACAGCCAATATGATACAAGTCCAGTGTTTATAAATCGGGCATGGTCTGGTGAGAATATGAGAAAACATTGAAAAGCAGACACTAGCCTAGATCCTACAAGGTAACAGAAAATTGGGCAGACCTGGAAATTCCCGGAAGAAGATTTCTGAACGCTAAAATGCGCCCAATTGAAGAAAGCCACGCGAATTGCAGCCCTTTGCTCGTCATGCATAAGTGTTTCTTTCAGGCATCTCTTTGAAGGGAGGGCGGCGTTGCCCTCAACCCACGAAGCACGCCTACTGTCCCCTTCTTTCCCCCAACGAAATAGATTTAAATAGAAAATATATACTTTTACCGTGTCCTGCCGCCCCACCCCCCCCCCCCCCTCCGGAAAATTTAGTCCTGAAAAAAATCTCTGAACGAAACACTGCACAGTGTCTACCGTTTTTAAATTTTGTAATTTATTTCGGTTTTTTTTAACACAACTTGGTTTTCTGGTAGCCGTTTAGCAAATACTACTTCGAAATCTTCACCATCATCCATAAGGCGCAGATGAAGTAGAGTTCATCTGCTTCAGTGACCTCGGCATATGCAGGGATAGTGTGGTCAGCACTATGCCCTGCCGCCTTTGATTTACTAATATGAGTTAGGTAGCCATCAGAGCTGGGACGTCACACTGTTTTGAACCCGGATTCGAACTCGAGACTCTCGGGTTAGAAGTCTAGCTCTCTACCGCAAGGCCCGCCGTCCCATTTTCAAAAATCATAATAAAGTATTTTTCTTATCGTACCGTCGCTATTTCACTTTTGTTTATCGTCTTTCGTGTTCTTCCACCGTCCACATCCTATTTTTTACCTGCCGTCAAGCTCGGAGTTAAACAGTAATTTCGTTGTAATGATGTCATTGATACCAATACATGTAGACAGGTTTTGTAATGCTAATCCATTGTTTCTCGCGGGGTCTCCTCATTGTAGACATAAATTGTAACACTAATCCACTACTTTCATACCCGTGATGACGTGAGTCCATTTATTACTCACCTAGAACTCCAGCCGCTACAACCTCAGCGCTCGTCTATGAAGTCACTCACGTGCAAACGATCCGATCTAAGGCAAATCTCACGTGTCGAGATGAAGGTAAGATGATAGGTGTCATGGCCGCCTGCCCAGCAGCTAGGTGGCGCTGTCAGACGGAGAAGCTCACTAATGAAATCACACGTCTGCCATCTCCAACTGTATTTATAGTCAGAGAATTCTTGCAGTCTATATCCGGTCTCCGGGCTCCATACCACGTTCATATCTGTTGTCTAAGGTTTGGTAACCCGTCAAGGTAAGGGTTATGGACGTTTGCTTTAATATAGATTAAATAAAATTGTTTGTTTTCAAATAGTGTAAGCTTACGATTTTTTTTTAATTGTTGCTTTTGTTTCTGCAATAATGCGTTATTTTTTTTTTTCGGTATTTTTACTTTCTCGTATATACGTAGTATAGAGAAAGTATTGTAATCGTGCAAAAAAAAAAATCGAGATTTTTACAAATCTCGACGTTTTACACCTCACTGATACGGAAAAACATAATTTTACAATCTTGTCCGTATGTCTGTGTGTGTGTGTGTCTGTCTGTCTGTCTGTCCGTGTGTAAACACGATAACTTGAGTACCGTTACAGCTAGGTTGATGAAATTTCATATATAAGTATTTTATCAAAATCGTAGATCCGTATCAACTTTTGAGCGATTTCCGATAACCGGAAGTGGTACTTTTCCTACTTTGAATTTTTCAAAAGCCTATAACTTGAGTACTATTTCAGATAGATAAATGAAATTTCACATGTAAGTAAAAGATCTAATTCTCTACCTTCTGTTAAATTTTGAGTAATTTCCGTTGACTGGAAGTAGTAATTTACGCTACTTCCGATTTCTCAAAAAACTAATGTAAATTTTTAAAGTACTAATAATATTGCGCACTATTATACGCGTTTTTATTCGGCGTTTGCTTGGTGCGCAATGTTTTTTTTATGAGATTCTATTCTATTTTTAAAAGTTTAAGTATTTAAAATGGATTAAAAATCATAACTATATCCCCAGTTACCATCCCCTGTTGTTTTATATAAGAATATTCGAGAAAGTTTAGGGGAGATCACTACCGGTTTATTTAAAATGTGTTTATTCCAAGAAGTTAAGTGAAATTTGACCACGCGGCTTTGTAGACTCTCGGCTTCAGTTCAAATCGGCATTTATTTCGCTAAATTCCCCCCTCCCCCCCCTCCCACCCGTTACTAAAAGTCTACTAGTATGCTTTCAAATAAACTGAAGTGAATGACTCTTTTCCAATATCTCAGATAATGACTGACACGCTCCCTATATCCCAGCTAGCGACCGACTCTTTTCTAATATAACTGACCTAGATGAAGACTGACACTTTCCCAATCTATGACAAGCAGATCTTCCACCTATGTCGTCACTTGCTATAGTCCGTTCCCCTAAACTAAGCAATTGCTTGTAGCTAAAACTAACAGTAATTCAAACCATACAGTCGCCTACAAGCTTCATCTCTGGAATATAAAATTGACCTTTATTCTAACTGACACAAGTACTTGTTTTACTAACACTAACCCTAACCAACCAATAAAAAATCACCATTATAGTAAATTACGCTAGTAGTTGTAGCACTAACCCTAACACTAGCCAAACAATTGCCTACTAATTCTACCTCTAGCGTCAAACTGACGATTATACTAACATCAGTTTCTGTAACCCTAACCCTAACAGCCAACCTTCTCTTTACTCTGCCCCCTATAGATGCGCCTTGTACTGATTCCACTTCTGGTGCTGGTGGCCACTGTGAGAGCAGAGACCGACGTTGATGTCAACGATGAGGCGGTGGAGCTGAACCGTCGTCTTTTGGATCAATTATTGGGTGGATTATTGGGTGGAGGTGGTGAGGGTCTTCTGGGTGGATTATTGGGTGGAGGTGGTGGCGGAGGTCTTCTGGGTGGAATACTGGGTGGTAATAATGGATCAGGTCTTCTTGGTGGATTATTGGGTGGGAGTAACGGTCTTCTGGGTGGATTATTGGGCGGAGACGGAGGTCTTGTTAGTGGAGTATTGGGAGAGAAAGGTCTGGTAGGCAGCCTGTTAGGTCCAAATGGTCCCGTTGGAGGTATTTTAAATAGTTTGGTTGGACCTTTAGTGGATCAACTGTTGGGACCAAAGGGGCTGTTGGCTGGGCTTGGGTTGAACAAAGGGCTTGTGGGTAATCTCGTCAAAACCCTGTCCCAAACACTCGGTCTGGACGTGGGCGAGATCCTGGAAATCGTCGGGAAAATCCTGTGCTTGATTAGAAAACTCGGCCTGGGTGTCGTCATTCAGCTGGTCAAGATTCTACAGCTGGACGTCCTGTTGTCCCTGAACAATTTCCTCTGTAACGCCAACGGCTCCCGTCTGTTTGATCTCAACGTCGTCGTCAACGGAACGGCGCAGATTGGCGGCATCGACTGTCTCTTGAACACAGTGACCAGCGTGGTAGGCTTGGACTACCTGCTCCCCTCTGTCAAAAGTATCCTTGGTACTGGGCTGAACGAGAAGTGCAAGACGCCCGCTGGGAACTCCCTCATCAAGGGGGTCTTCGATCTCTTAGGCAAGGTACTCAACCCGGAACTAGTGAAGAGAGTTGTCGTTCTACTCAACGCTGTCGATTTAACTGACCTGACGGTATCTGTTCCTAAAATTCTAAAAGCTCTCGAATGTCTGTTAGAATACTTCGGCGTCGGGCTAAAATTAGATTTCCTGTTGAACCTCCTTAATGTTGTTGGTCTCAAGGCCGTCATCGGCGCCGAAGTTCAGTTCTGCAACTCTACTAATGCTGGTCTGAAAGCCGACGCTCTTCTGAATTTAAACGGTATAGTCGGTTTAGATATAGTCGGCGCTTTGGTCAAGAGCCTGGGGATTAGCCCACTTCTGGACATCATCACCAAGATTACCACTGAGCTCGGGCAAATCACGCTGGACGTCTTGCGGGTCGTCTTGTGTCTGATCGACAGCCTCGGTCTGAAGGTCGTCCTTGACCTGTTCAACACTCTCAATGTCACCGCCATCTTGGGTCTGTCTGCCGTGACTTGCAGCCAACAAGGAACCCCGGCTCTGCTGTCCGCCGCCGTGCAAGTGTGCAGAGGCCCAACTACACCCGAATGCGAGGCGTAAGACCTTCTTTTACTTATCACCTCGTCTTTACCTTTGTAGATTTAAGATTCGCGTAGTCATTTTAGATAGTCTTACCAGTGGCGTAGCGAGGTCGGGTGTCACCCGGTGCGGCAGTTAATGGTGTCAACCCCCAGAGGCGTAGCGATCCTTCTCGGGGACAAACTTTCAATTTTCGATTTGCACCCCCCTCTCAAACTTTCGATTTGCACCTCTTAAAAGACTATTTAACACTCGAATTAATCACCTAATTAAGTGGAATTATCATTTTTCTACGTATATTTTGCTATATTTTACCTTGGTGTCACCCCCCCCCCCCCCTAAATGGTGTCACCCGGTGCGCTCCGCACCCCACCCTTGCTACGCCACTGAGTCTTATTTATTTATTCAATGCAGAAGAAAACTAAGTAGTCAAGAAGCTATATTGGAAGATTTTGACAATTATCAATGAAAAATCAGCTAAATATAAATTGATATATCAGTATTTATAGAAAATTTAGCTTTGTAAAAAGAAAGATAAAAAAAACACAGTTACAAACTAATAATGCAAAATAAATATACACTACAATTACACACAGGCATAGAAACACTCTGATACACTTTTACATTCCCGCTGCTAATAAACTAACACAATATGCTTCTAACAGCGCAATACAGGTTGCGTTCGACAGTAACCCGTGTGCAGATGTTTGTGGTGCTTGCGAGCAGTTGGTTTCCATCAGTGTAGAGTACCAAGCGGCCTCTACGTCATGCTTGGACAAATGTAGCCTGGACTGCCCTGCTTACTTGAGTAAGTTATAACATAATTGTATGTTTATAGCATAACTATATGTGATAGATTCCCCAGCTTACTTAAGTAATTACATATTTGTATGTGATAGATTACCTATAACTTGAGTAAGTTATAACTCAGCTGTATGTGATAGACTGCCCAGCTTACTTGAGTAAGTTATAGCATAAATGTATGTGATATATTACCTATAACTTGAGTAAGTTATAGCATAACTGTATGTGATAGATTCTCCAGCTTACTTGAGTAAGTTATAGCATAACTGTATGTGATAGATTCTCCAGCTTACTTGAGTAAGTTATAGCATAATTGTATGTGATAGATTCCCTAGCTTACTTGAGTAAGTTATAGCATAACTGCATGTGATAGATTTCCCAGCTTACTTGAGTAAGTTATAGCATAACTGTATGTGATAGATTCCCTAGCTTACTTGAGTAAGTTACAGCATAACTGTATGTGATAGACTGCCCAGCTTACTTGAGTAAGTTATAACTGTATGTGATAGATTCCACAGCTTACTTGAGTAAGTTATAGCATAACTGTATGTGATAGATTCCCTAGCTTAACATAACTGTATGTGATAGATTACCTATTACTTGAGTAACTTATAACATAACTCTATGTGATAGATTCCCTAGCTTACGTTAGTGAATTATAATACAGCTAAATGTGATAAATTACCAGTTACTTCATTGAGTTAAAAGTATGAACAATAGAAGTATAACCAATAAATAGATCGCAAATAAATACTTTAATTATCCTTATAATTGCCCGCTTTCTTCTTACCCATCTGGAAATTTCAAATCCCCCCCCCCCCCCCCTCTCCACGTAGCAAAATATGTGAAATCAACCCAGCACTTTTGTTATTCGTTTTACGACATTGAAATATTTTTAAAAAAAAATTTCAAAGCGAGTTTAACATAGTTTACGTAAATTAAAACGTGTTGTCTTTGAGTGTGTGGTGGAACTAATCCGTGAAACTAATCCATGAAACTAATCCATGAAACTAATCCGTGGACATTTGCTTCCAGGTGGGTCAGCTACAGTGACCACACCTGCTCCTGGTAGTGGTGGCATTGGCTCCGGGCGTTAAGCAGACCTCAACGTGGCAGCAGACGGCTTAGTATGCGATCAGTACAAATACAAATGGACTACTGCAACTATTGCTACTGTTGCTACTTCTGCTGTTACTAACGCTGCTACAATAATATAAACAATAAAACTTGAAGCATACAATTCAGACTGTTATTTTTTTTTTTCTGTTCCCCAAACATTCTTCTTTCTTCTTCGTTCTTAATTTTAATGTTGGAAGGGATCCCCTCCAACACTATTAAATATACGTGTCAACTGGTTGTGCGCATACAGAGTTTCTTTCATGCATCTCTTCGGGGGGGGGGGGAGGGGGAAATCCCCCCCCCCCCCGAAAATAATTTCAATCCCCCCCCCCCCCCCCACGGAGAAAAAAGTCTGGAATAAACACTGGCGCCATATAGGCCGTTGACTCCGATTTCAGCCTGCTTTTCTTTTTGGATTTGCTTCCATAGCCTTTTCCAACCAAGAACGAACTACAAGGCAGCAGATGTTTGATTTTGGAGTTGTCTCTCCTAGAACAGTGGCTGTGCCCAGCTAACGAGCCTCCAGTGTTTCTTCCAGACTTTTTTCTCCGGGGGGGCACTTGAAATCTTCGGGGGGGGGGGGGCGGACACTGTTAAAAGTATATATTTTCTATATAAATTATGTAAATTTCATTTCGTTCGGGGGGTGGGGGGGGGGGCGGTAAGAAACTCTGCGAGCCTCGTCTGCCCGAAGGTTTGAACTCGATACTTTTAGCAACCACGAGCTTTTCCGACTCGACCACGCCGACCCCAAACATTAACAACGTAGCGTTTGCTAAAATTCAGTTCAAAATTATTTTCTGAAATGAAAGAAAAAAATGTGTGTTGTTTTCTAAACACTTTCCCTCCATGTCAACCTCAGGAGTGCGATATCTCTTTGTAGACGATATCTCTTTGTAGACGACCCCAAAGGTCATAGATAGCAGATAACTTATTTGGTTTATCATATTTTAACTTTAAGAAGAAATATCTGTTCCATTTTTTTTCTAGTAGGCCTACATGTCAAGTCGCGTTATCCCCTTTCAAAACTGTTACTGAATCACAGTTTCTATTCAGACTTTTTTTTCCCGGGGGGGGGGGGGGGGGTGGAGGGGCACTAAATTTTCAGGGGGACGGATACTTGTAATAGTATATATTTTCTACATAAATTCAATTTCGCTCGTGTGGAAAAGGAGGGGGGGGGGGGGACGACTGTAGGCGTTATCCTGTCGCCCCCCCTCCCTCAGCAATGAAGAGATGCCTGAAAGAAACTGCTGATTCAAGAGAATTTCACGTTACCGGGGGGGGGGGGGGGGATGGCTGCAGTGTGTCGTCATTTTAAGTGTGTGTTTGGGGGCGGGGGCGACTTTTTCTGATGACGTGTGGCCATGTGTGTAAACAAATTACATTAAAGATTATTTCTCTGGTAGTTAAAATAAATCTATTTAAAAAATATTAACCTACCTAGAATAAGTTAAACTAAGATCTATACTAGTAAATGTGTAGTCTACTCATACAAAAAAGCATTAAAATTTGTCCTTTGGTAATATAATTTGGTTTTATTTTAGAAATTGTTTCCTTAAAAAAACAAATCATAACGGACAAAGCAACTTCGCTTAACAACATCCGCGCGATCATTAGTCACACAGAACAAAAAAAAACGCGCGTGACACTTAATTGGTTTTTAATTGTCTTGTTTTTTTTTTTGACACGTCATTTCAGTTAACCAATTTTTTTTTTAACTTAAGAATTTGCGGGTTATGTCCCCTTTTCCAAGAATTCTGCGTTATTTCCAGATCGAGACCGAAACTAAAGACCCAGATGAGTCAGATAATAGAGAAGCCAGAGTAGGTTATACAAAAAAAAAAACAAAAAAAAAAACAACACACAATTGCAAGATAAATGCACAGTAAAGTTCACTTTCAAACCTGACGGTCTATATGGCAAGTGAAGTAGAGTTCCTTTCTAACCTGACGGTCTATAGGGCAAGTGAAGTAGAGTTCCCTTTCTAACCTGACGGTCTATAGGGCAAGTGAAGTAGAGTTCCCTTTCTAACCTGACGGTCTATATGGCAAGTGAAGTAGAGTTCCTTTCTAACCTGACGGTCTATAGGGCAAGTGAAGTAGAGTTCACTTTCAAACCTGACGGTCTATAGGGCAAGTGAAGTAGAGTTCCCTTTCAAACCTGACGGTCTATAGGGCAAGTGAAGTAGAGTTCCCTTTCAAACCTGACGGTCTATAGAGCAAGTGAAGTAGAGTTCACTTTCAAACCTGACGGTCTATAGGGCAAGTGAAGTAGAGTTCACTTTCAAACCTGACGGTCTATAGGGCAAGTGAAGTAGAGTTCACTTGTTTCTGTGACCTCGGCATATAAGAGATAGCTCTACCGCTAGACCACTCAGTTTCCGGTGCTTGCTGTTAATTCAAGAAAAATCATCGTCACAAAACGCCTACATTCAACAAAAAATAAGCAAACAAAACTTTCAGCTTTAAACAAATTATTGCCAAATAGCATTAAGGAAATAATAGTGTCTCTAACTGTATAATATTATTTGGGTAAGACCCTTTTTGCAAAGAAACACAAAAAAACGCAAATGGGATTGCATCAGACACATATACATCACAAGACAGGCACTATAAGATTGGAACCCCAAGGGAAACACGACCGTAGGTAGACCACGGGAAATTTCAAGCGCCCCCACCCCAGAGAAATGTCTAAAAGAAACCCTGGCTGAACTCAAGACACGTGTGGGGGATAGCCTTTATGTTCCGTACCCTACCACTTATCCTAAACAGAACAATCGGTAGGCTACTGCAAAGTGGCGCAGCGAGATAGGGTGTCACCCGGTGCGGCATTTAATGGTGTTTTATCATTTATGTACGCATTAAATTAAAATTAATGGATGTTTAATTTGTTTATCTTCTAATGACTCGATCGTGTTGTTGTTTAGGACTAACAGGGCTTCTATATTATAATTCACGGCCAATATCCTGTGTCAAATGAAAACAAACACACACACACACATACATTGGTGGATCGTGTCCCGGTTTTTGATATCGATTTAAATGTGAGTTGTCCATCAGATAATGCATTGGCTAACCTTTTGAAAACCCTTTCTGGATGGTTCCCCCCCCCTAGCAGAAGCGTAGCGAGGGGGCGGGGGGGGGGGGACGGACATATGTCCCCGGGCGCCGACCTTAGGGGGCGCCAAAATGGGTTGGAAAAATAAATTGAAAGGTTGAGGGGGGTGCAAATCAAAATTTTGAGGGGGGGGGGTTGCAAATTGAACAGTTTGTCCCCGGGAAGGGTCTCTACGCCTCTGCCCCCTAGTATAATCTTTTAATAAAGTCACGAGGAGGGTGGTTTTCATTATCGAAACGCTGAGATTATGGGGATGGGGTGGGGTAAATTGACACGTAAGATGTCGTCGTTAATAGATGACCGCTTACCTGATAATGATATCGATTTAGGCTATATTTTGTCTTTTTTAAAACATAAAATTACGAAAAACATGAGCACTGCAACATAAACTAAAACAGTGCTTATAGACGAACCATTTAAGGCATTTATCGCGTGTTTTTGGTCTTTTTTTTTACCCTCTTGTTTTGGATTTAAATGAAAGAAAAAATTTTTTGGTGCGATTTTATTTAATTTTCTTCTAGGTCAAAAGAGACAATTTTACTGTGGTCTTTACCATAGATCTCATATCGTGTTGCTAACTATGGAATTCAACAAATGCGGCTTATGACTTCGGTTAAAGTGTAGTTTATGTTATCAGATAATGGGTGCCCAGGGGATTATTATTTATTGACCAATGGCCACAACTCGATCACAAGACATACAGGTGTTGAAACGATGTACAAAAGGAAAATCGAAATTAGGTCAAGCATGTGACAAAAATCATGTGACTAGTCTGAAAATTTTACGTCACTGTTTGTTTATCCCCACAATGGTGGTTGGAATCGATCCAAATATATCCATGAACTATAAAACGTAGTATTAAAAGAATATTAAAGAAATAGTTGTATATCTCAGACAAAATATACATGGAAGTGTTTATAAAAATAAAATATAATGAGTAATAATTTAAAGTTTTTATAAAAATTGATAAAACTTAGCAGTGCTATTCAATCTTTACAAGTAATCGCAGGCATATTTATATCGAATACCCAGGACAGCCTTGAGGAGTATAAATAATCTGTGGTGTAGGCATTGAACTCTACCAAGCAGAAGTCTGTCGCTCTCAGGCTTAAGCCTTAAGTCCATCTAGTGGTTTCATTTAATTCTTCAATCATGTTGAAGTTGGTGGTCGTTGCACTGCTAGCTAGCCTCGTGGCAACAATTTCAGCTGAAAAACACTGGGCCCTTCTTGTCGCTGGTTCGAATGGCTTTTATAACTACAGACACCAGGTACGCTTACAACCAATCCTCATCAGTAGTACTAGTACACTTAGTACACAAGTTAGGCCTATTTATTTACTATTACTTTGTTTATAACTTTATTAATATTATTAGGGCCTAGTTAGTTTTTAATCAGAACTTAGAGTTTAGTTAGTAACTTAGTATGTAGGCCTATGTATGTATAGTATAGGCCCTAGTTAATATTAAGTACTAAGTGTAGGAGTTAAGAATCTTAGTTAAGAACTTGTAAGGCATTTTTTTGTGATTGTTGTAAATAAGATATGATTATGTAGTAATGTAGGCCTATAGTATACTGTGTAGATCTAGATCAAAATCAGATTATCTACTAGATCTAGTATTAGTATCTAGACTAGAATTGACTAGATCTAATACTTAACTAATTCTAATAAATGACAAAGTACAAAGTTCTAATTTTTACAGTAATAGACAGTAATAGTACTAGATCTGGATGATATTTTGAGTGGACCCTTTGTATTTTGTATCCCTAGCAACCGGCGGTCTTGTTGTTGCATTCATTGAGTTAAATATAAATTCAAAACGATTCTATAGGCCTAATGCCTAATAGTACAGACTTTTTAAAAATTAAACATGTCATGTTCCCATGATTTTTTTCCAGCACCTAAGAAATTTTTTTAAATAAAAATATGAATAGTAAATCTGATTATCAGATTTTAATCATCAAACTATTAGGCCTAACTAAATTACATAAAGTGATGCTGTACAGATAAATTATCTATGCTTTGAGAAATTGGCTTTTCTCGTTAGACGCATATTCCTTTATGGTCTTATGCCGCCGAGATTTTTCTTTTGTGGCTCAGCCCTATGCGCCTAAACATGCCTGTTTGATTAATGCTACCATTTGTTTGGTTAATGCCATTTTTTTCACTATTAAGTTCGACAGTGGCGTAGCCAGGATCGTCTCAAGGGGGGGGGGGGGGGGGTTTCCAATTTTTACCCGGGGACAAACTTTCGAATTGCACCCCCCCTCAAACTTTCGATTTGCACCCCCCCTCAAACTTTCGATTTGCACCCCCCCTCATACTTTTTACATATACCGAGGGGTCTATGGGGGGGGGGGGGGGTTATGACCCCCCTAACCCCCCCTGCCTACGCCACTGAAGTTCGATGCTGCTTTTTAAAATCATGATGTTCATTGCTTAGTAATTAAAAGTAATGCACAAAAAATCCGCATCTATTATGTTTAAATTTTTAAATTTAAATGCACATTGATTTTTTTTTATTAAATATTAATTAGGCCTAATTACTGTAAGCAACAATTAAAAAAAAATATTTCCCCTCACTTGGTCGCACAGTAAGGAAAAAAAATTCTGAACTTTTGTAATCAGGCTAATAAAATTTGAACACAGTTCTATAGATTGTATGATAAGCCTACAAATAAAACATGTTTTTTTTTTTTTACAGGCAGACATATGCCATGCATTTCATGTCCTCCGAAATCATGGTATTCCTGAGGAGAACATTATTGTCATGATGTATGACGACATTGCCTACAGTATGAGGTGAATACATTTTTCAACAAGATTTTTATTTTGCCACTTTTTCTCGTAACTAGTATCGGTTCTTTTTTACACCAACATTAAAACTTATGGGAACAGCGTGGCCTAGCGGTAGACTGCTAAACTGATAGTCTCGAGTTCGAATCTTGGTTCAAGTCAATAGAATGTCAGAGTCCACCCAGCATTAGGGAAAGTAAAGGCGGGTGGGCATAGTTCTAACCACACTATCCTTTCAAATGCTAAGGTCTCTGAAACAGATGAACTCCACCATTATCTGCCTCATGTGTTTTGGAGAAGAATGGGAAAAGAAGATGAACATTAAAATTTACTTTTTAAAAAATGTGTTTTCATATTTATTTATTTTTATTACAGCAACCCAGTGAAAGGTGAAATAATAAATCATCCAAATGGCCCGAATGTCTACAAGGGTGTTCCTATACATTACTCTAGAGAAGTGAGTACTTTTAATTATCTGTTGAAACTCATGCACACTCAGAGATTGTGGACCCTCATCTTCAACCATTAGTTCATCTAAATATAGTTAAAAATTAAATTTGATAAAAACGTTCTGATTCTGTACAACACATTTAATCCTAGAAGCATTTTAAACAGTACAGAATTATTTTTATTAGAACTCAGCTGTAGGTCTATTCAAACTAAATTTTTTCTAGTGTACATTGTTCTGCAATAATTATTTCCTTTTGACTTGGGATGTGTCAACAACTGATTGTACAATTTTAAAAAAAAAATTGTTTGATTTTTATTTTTACATGAATGTTTACAATCATGAATAATTGTTTTCTATAAAAAAAAGTAATGTAAAAATCTATTTTTTTGTTATGAACAGGAAGTAACACCAGAAGTTTTTCTAAAAGTATTGACTGGAGATGCTGAGGGAATTAAAAAACTTTTGGGCAGAGAAGGAAAAGTTATCACTAGGTAAACATTTCTTTAATATTTAAAAGCAATAGTTAATAATTTTTATTTGGATAAAAATGGAACCGCATGGCCTAGTGGTAGAGCGCTAGTCTGCTAATCTCAAAGTTTTAAGTTAGAATCTGGGTTCAAGTCTGCAGAACGTCCCTGTCCACCCAACTGGGCATAATTCTGACCACACTATCTCTTCACATGCAGAGGTCACAGAAACAGGTGAACTCTACTTCACTTGCCCCAAGGACAGTCAGGTTTGAAAAGGGGGCTTTACTTTTTGTAATGTGGAAAATATTCACTTTTATTTATTAATTTTTAAAATTTATCTTTTTGTATCTAAACTTTTAGTGGAGCAGATGACAGGATCTTTGTCAACTTTGCTGACCACGGTGCTCCTGGTATTTTGGCTTTTCCTCAAACCTATGTAAGGGATTTACACGTTTATACCTGTTTCAATTTTTAAAGTTTTATCTATATGCTTATGGTTAAAATAAATATTAGAAACCGTATATATACTAATACAAGTCCTTTAGATATTCAAACATTAGTTTGTTCTATACAAAAGTGTGTTGTCATACTTTGTGAACCAACCCAGTCAGGTGCCATAACTCCATATTACCTTGATCCTAGGAGTGTTGTGTTTATAGACAAATCCCTAAATGGTACTGAAAGTACACCATTTTGTTCTTGCAGTAATTAGTGTCTAAATCTCATCCCCAGTTACATGCTGAAGATCTTCACACAGCTATCAAGACCATGCACGCCAACAAACGTTACAAACAGGTAAGCCATATGTTACTTTTCCATCCTTTAAAGCTGTTGCTGGTAATTTATTTGAATGGCTGTGACACACTTGTCTGGCTGTGACCTACTTAACTATTATGATTTTAAAAAAGTGTGATTCCTATATTTTCACCAACCTTATGTTGCAGATGGTGATGTACATTGAGGCTTGTGAGTCTGGCTCCATGTTCTACAACCTTTTGGAATCTGATATCAATGGTAGGCCCTCCAACCTCTTACATACTTTACATTTGGAGTTTTTATGAACCTCAGATTTTATTTTTTAGTCACCAAATTTGCCATCAAACTTAATAGTGAAAAAAAATGGCATTAACCAAACGGTCCTCCAGCCTCTTACATACTTTACATTTTGTTTTTATAAACCTCAGATTTTATTTTTAGTTGTCAAATCTGCCATTCCTATATATAGTACAGGGTACGTGCGGCCTCCAGGAGGTCCTGGAAAACTCCTGAAAACTTAAAATACTTAAAAACCTCCTGGAATTCTCCTGAAATTTAAAAATTCTCATGAAACCTCACAAAATTTCATTAACCATCGCAAAACCCGACCAAAATTATTACTATTAGTAACTTTTCAATTTTTATAATCTGGAATGACGTGTTTTTTGAAACGTGATTGTATGGTGCGTTCATAAGATAAAAGCCAATGTCTACTATACTAAAAGTTTTGGATGTAGGACTGAGTCCATCCAGCTGTAATGGGTACCTGACTTGCATCAAGGAGAGTAAATACAGCTGGCTATAGTGCTCATCACACTATCCCTTCATATGCCAAGATCATAATAAAGAGACCTCTACTTTATCTTTCCCATGGACCACCAGGTCCATAAGAGTTGTATTTAAAACCTTAATTCACATAGAATTTTCTTGAAGCATTTTTATGTAGTTTCCTTATTTTAATGGCAGTTTAATGTGTACCGTGTTTCTGACTTGCGTCCCCAGTTTTTGTGACAACAGCTGCCAACCCTGATGAATCTTCCTACGCCTGCTACTATGATGAGAGAAGACAAACTTACCTCGGAGATGTGTACAGTGTCTTCTGGATGGAAGATTCAGATGTTGTAAGTTCGACTCTTTTACCTGTAGCTTTTCTTCGTTCTTGATTGTGTTTAAGGGTTTCAATAATTGCCACTTAGCGGATGAACTGGACTGTGGTCTCCAGATGTTCTTAATTGCACATTATGAGATTTCCTTAAATATAATTCAAGATCAATTCATTAATATATGTCCATATAATTCAAGATCAATTCATTAATATATGTCCATATAATTCAAGATCAATTCATTAATATATGTCCATATAATTCAAGATCAATTCATTAATTTATGTTCATATAACTCTGACTTATGCCTGCTTCTCTTTCCTGATACCCTTTATTCTCACTTGAACAATCTGCAAGACAGCAGTTGTTTGATTTTGGATTTTTATTTCTTAAATGTGATGCTGTTCCACTTGTCAGCTGAGACATTTGTGTGTTGTGCTGCATGTTATTTAATGTTAAAATTTATGTGTTAGTAAGTCATGGTTATATTATCATAAATAAAAAAAAAAAGTAAAGTACACTTTCAAACCTTATGGTCTATGTAGCAGGTGAAGTAGAGTTAACCTGTTTCACTGACCTTGGCATTTGGAGTGGGGAGGGGGGATAGTGTTGACAGCACTATGCCCAGCTGAAGTAATGTTAGCTATTATGAGTAATGCACCCATTAGAGATGGATGGACTCAGGGGTGTTGTATAGAATAGCACCCGGGATCCCAACTTGAGACTTTGTGATTACCGCTAGGAAGCTCTACCATTTGACCACACCGCCCCCATTCAAATGAAATAATTGTACACAATAATTGTTTAAATAGGAGGACCTGTCTCAAGAAACCCTGCAAAGCCAGTTCAAGTTGGTGAAGAAGGAAACCAACACAAGTCATGTGATGGAGTATGGAGATTTGGTAGGTCAAGTTTTTTTTAAGCCTTCCATCTATCCATCCATCCCTGTGGCTCTACTTGAGCCTGCTTCTCCACATTCTTTCACTCCTACTTATCTGCTGTTGTAAATCAGGACTCACAGTTGCCGTAGGTTTGTCTCCTCATCTTCTATCTAACTGAACTTTAGGTCATCGCCCTTTTAGGTTGTGATTAAATACCATCTTAACCCTTCTGTTATCTGCTAACTTCTTCTTTATTTAAAAACCTGAGTAGAGCAGTGACCTTGCAGACTCAGCTAAGTTTATATCACACTTGTAGATAACTCTAAAGCTGACCTGGTGACCTTTTGACCCTGACCTGGTGACCTTTTAATCCTGACCTGGTGACCTGAAAGTCTATCAGCATCAAGTGTCTGCTTGTTTTGTCTGCATTGAGATATCAGATGATATTTAAAGGTTTAAGATGACCTGTAGATACTGACTAAAACATCAGAAGAATACAGCCATTATCAGGCCTCAACTCTTGACATTCTCAACAAGAAAGAAATAGCAATTGATTACTTGTTACTTATCCCATTTACTGTCCAGAAAACAGATTTTTATATACTGTTTGACCAATCCAAATGACACTTATTCAACTATTGTACGTTTTCATTTCTGAGGGCTAGTTAAATACTAACGATATAGTTAGGCAGTATACAATCCAGTGTACTTATTTTATTAAATTTTAGTCTTAACAGCTAAATTAATTTTTTAGCCAGTAATACATTATAATAAAAAGCCTGATTCATTATGAGAAGCATTTTTATTAAAACATGTGGGGAGGGGGGGGGGGCGTTCTTGAAAATATAATATTGCATGTCATGGTCTTTTGAAAAGTTAACATAATATGGGGTAATAATATGAGTGCATGTGTTTTAAACTTGAGAATTCCTTGGCCACTTATTGTTGATGGGATGGTTGGGTTGAGTAATAATCCACACCAGTACTCAACCTGTCAGAGTTGGATGGCATCAAGGTTGTCCTTCTGACTTCAATCCGCGATCCAGATTTTCAGATTAGCAGCCGTTGAGGAAAAATATGGAAAAATTAATTTCACCTGTCATTATTTTAAATATCTCAATACCAACATGGAAACTACAGAACTGTTACTATACCTAGTTGTAGCACACAGAACTAATGGCCAAAGTCAAGAAAATATTTCTATCTTTGTTTTATCGCTGGATTTTTAAAAACTTTTTTTTATTAATGACAGAAAATGGGCAACTTGAAATTGGCAGACTTTCAAGGCAATCTGACCTCCAGGACATTCAATTTTGGCAGAGGTTTGCCATATCACCCCACAGTAAGTCTTTCTTTTAATGACTCATTAATTAAACACCAAAATCAAGTTTAATTAATCAGCCAATACACTGCATTGTAAATTAATACGCCATAACTGTAATGCATCCGAACACAACTTAATATTGTGATGTTTCCAGGTGGATGCTGTACCCTCAGAGGATGTGAAGATGGAAATCCTTAAAAGAAAAATTAGATCAGACAGCAGCAACCAAGAAACTCTGAAAGCTTATGAATCCTTGATAAAGGTAGGGCAATGTTTTTTTTTTTAATATCACGTCAATAAATTAATTGAATTTTAGCTTTTGATACAAAAATATTAAATTTAATCTGCTAAAACTGTTGAATATACTCCAAATTACTTTTAAACGAATGTCGTCACTGTAGTGATTTAGCTTTTATTTGATAGTTGAAGTAAATTTTTGGGTTTGACAAGACTTCAGAGAAATTAAATCTGCTTAAACTATTGAATTTAAATGAAAAAAAAAACATTTGATCTACTTACACTACTGAATTTAAACTTAAAAAAAAAAAAAATTTAATCTACATCATTAAACTATTAGTTTGAACCAAACTAGACCAAGATGAGCTTTGTAATTTTAATTTCACTTATATCAGAAATATCCATGCATGTGTCATTTATAAAAATTAACACAACTAATTAATGAGCGCCTGATCTTGCAGCTGAAACAGGAGAGTGAAGACTACTTCAAGAAGGTTGTTGAACTTGTGACCCCCTTCCCCCTGTACGAGATATACCTGCACGCCCCACTCCAGTTCACAGACTTCAAATGTTACAGGGAGAGTCTGAGGCTTATTTCAGACATGTGCCCTGGTCTGAGTCTTGTACAGGTAACGTTACTTCAGACTAATTTTAAAACCTTTTTTTTTTTTTGCAACTTAGTTTTAAGTTTTAGAATAAATTTTTTTTAGTAAAGTAAAAACAAAAGTAAAGAATACTCTTTAGACTTAACGAACCTTTGGGCAAATGAAGTAGAGTTTATGTTTTTGGCCTCGGCATATGAAGGGAAGGTGTGGCCAGCACTATGCCCAGCCGCTTTTACTTGAGTTAGGTACCCATCACAGCTGGGTTGACTCGGAAATGTTCTACTGACTAGTACCGGGGTCGAACACTCAACTTTCAGGTTAGCAGCCCAGCACTTTACCTTTTAGGCCACGCCGTCCCATAATTTCATTTAGAATCTCGTAAGTTATTGTCAGGTCTAAAAATTATTTTCCAAAATTTTTATTTTCAAACCTAGTAATAAAACTAAAAAAAAATTAGTTGTATTTACCATAGTTCAAGTCTGTTTTTGGCAAGATTATTATAACAAAACACATGGCAAAACTCTGGATGCTACTTTATGTGTAATTAGCTCATACACCCATTGTAATAATTTTTAGTTAACCCAATGCTCACAAAATGTGTACACAAGCATTTACCACCTTGCCCCAACATTGGATTGGGGGGGGGGGGGGGGGAAATTACTAAATTTTCATAGTTATAATATATTTTTGTCCAAAGGGGTTGCATAGCTCCAGGCTAACACCTCACCTAATGCGCCACTAGAGTTCCATTTCATTCATGCGGTTGTTTTACATTTCCATTGACATGATTTTGTGTACTTAGACAAACTCCATCAAACATAAAGTCACACGCCATACATTTACACCTATTTTAGTTGAAAATTACAATTTGATGTGTTAATCAAATAATTTGTTGTAAATTTCTGCAGAATCACTAGGTTGTATTGGTGATTTTATTTGAAACTGTTTTATATCTGTAAAATGACTGATTTGTATTATTGAATGTGTTGTTTCTATGGCTGAGTTGTGTCATTGATTGTGTTGTTTCTGCAGAATGACTGAGTATCGTTAAATGTTGTGTTTCTGCAGAATGACTATGAGTTTACTTATTGAATGTGTTGTGTTTCTGCAGAATGACTATGAGTTTACTTATTGAATGTGTTGTGTTTCTGCAGAATGACTATGAGTTTACTTATTGAATGTGTTGTGTTTCTGCAGAATGACTATGAGTTTACTTATTGAATGTGTTGTGTTTCTGCAGAATGACTAAGAGTTTACTTATTGAATGTGTTGTGTTTCTGCAGAATGACTAAGAGTTTACTTATTGAATGTGTTGTGTTTCTGCAGAATGACTATGAGTTTACTTATTGAATGTGTTGTGTTTCTGCAGAATGACTAAGAGTTTACTTATTGAATGTGTTGTGTTTCTGCAGAATGACTATGAGTTTACTTATTGAATGTGTTGTGTTTCTGCAGAATGACTATGAGTTTACTTATTGAATGTGTTGTGTTTCTGCAGAATGACTAAGAGTTTACTTATTGAATGTGTTGTGTTTCTGCAGAATGACTATGAGTTTACTTATTGAATGTGTTGTGTTTCTGCAGAATGACTATGAGTTTACTTATTGAATGTGTTGTGTTTCTGCAGAATGACTATGAGTTTACTTATTGAATGTGTTGTGTTTCTGCAGAATGACTATGAGTTTACTTATTGAATGTGTTGTGTTTCTGCAGAATGACTATGCACTGAGGAAACTGCGTGTGATTGCCAACATGTGCGAGGCTGACATCCCTCACCAAAAAATCTGGTCAGCCATTGGTAGAGCCTCGTACGACTCCAGCATCTGCAAGACAACTTCGTAAAGTGAATTCCATCACTTAGGTGTCATCTTAACGATCTTTAATGAAATCATTTAGGTGTCATCTTAACAAGCTTTAATGAAATCATTTAGGTGTCATCTTAATAATTTTTAATGAAATAATTAAGGTTATATCTTAATGATCTGTAATGAAATAACTTAGGTTGTATCTTAATAATCTTTAATGAAATCGTTTAGGTTACATTTTAATGATTTTTAAATAAAACCATTTTGGTGACATCTGAGTGATTTTGAACCAGTCATCTTAGTGACTTCTTCAAGTTTTCTTTACCAGTCACCTAAGATTTGTACAGTAAATTTTAATTTTTTGCATGCTCACTGCGACATTTTTTGTTTTCATATTTGACTTGTGATAATGTTGGAAGTATATGGGAACGAATTGTTGTATGAATGGATGGTACTAAATTATTACCATAAAACCAACTGAACTGCAAATGTTCATTTTAACACTGTCTTTCAGGTCGAAACCATCATAATGTATTGTTATAAAAAGTACTTTCCGATAAAACTGAGACCAAGAGAAACATTGATCCCAGTTAAATATTTTTATAGGTTTAAACTTGCCATAACAGCAAGCTAAACTTGCCGTAACTGCAAGCAAAACTTACCATAACCCCAAGCTTGCGGTAACTGCAGGTTACCGTGACTACAATAAAACCAACATTTGCCTTGGTCGTTTCTCTAGTTTCATGTTAAACAGGCCTGTACCTAATTTCTGTACATATTGTCAAGTCTTTCTTACATGTTTTTTGTTATATTGTCCACCTATTGTTTCAAGGAATCAAAAATATTTCTCACCAATTTTTACTTATCAGAAAGATTATACATTCAGCAGGTTAATTTAGTATTTTGTATACAGCAGCTTTCAAGCTTCATAAAATAATTTTTTTCTGTTTGCTTGATAAAATCTGAACATATTTTAGTGGCTATTTTATCTATTTTTTGCAATTGATACTCCACATTTCATGATTTAACAGTTTCAGGGTTTTAGAAATCTCATTTTATTTTTAGTTTAGGTAGAAATTTGCTTTTGTAAAATTATTCTGATTTTTAATGTTACAAGGATTTATATACACACTGTGCTTAAAACTGCATACATTTCATGTATAGCACGTGTGTTAATAAGGTAATTATAGAAAGGTAAAATGATAATCAAAATGCATTCCTTTGTACAATGTTCTAATTTCAGTTCATGTCAAACGCTTGTCAATTTTTAAAAATTAAACTTCTTTTTGAATAAAAGTAATTGGGACTTGGTTATTTATAATCATTTATAGTGTATTTTTAAACCTTTTTAAAAAAATTAAACACAAATATAGGGCTGCGGCCTAAGCTGTAGAGAGCTAGGCTGCTAACCCAAAAGTTTCGAATTTGAATCCGGGTCCAAGTAAGTCAATAAGTCCCCCAAGCTCTAATGTGTACATAACATATGTTAGGGAAAGTAAAGGCAGCTGGGCATAGTGCTGCCCACACCTCCAAATCCCCAGGTAATAAAAATATATGAACTTTACTTCATTTGCCCAATGTATTGCTAGGTGTAAAGAGGAATCTTTTATATAATAAATGTATGAATATGGGGTTAATATCACAGTTGACTTGAGATAAGCTCTTGTTGATTTATTGTAGGTTTATGGGTCTTTTTAAAATTGATAAAAGATAAGCTTTGATGTCATTTTTATTGCTAGTAATTTGAATTTGAGATAATTTACAAAAAAATTAGACAATACCAGCGGACGTAAAATAAAAGTTCCTTTTAGTACTGAAGGTCCATGAGGCAAAGGAAGTAGAGTTCACCTGTTTCTGTGACCTATGCACATGAAGGGATAGTGTGGTCAGCACTATGCCAAGTCACCTAGTTTCCTTAATGCTAGTTAGATAGGCCTACCCATCAGCGCTGGTTAGACTGAGGGACGTTCTACTGATTCACTCAAGATTTTTGGGTTTGCAATCTAGCGCTCTACCTCTAGGCTACACTGTCCCATAGCAGACTTGGCTTATAGTTCACAGATGATAGTGTGCACCTGTGTAGGTCAGTGTGTACCAGTGTTGGTCAGTGTGTACCTCTGTAGGTCAGTGTGCACCTGTGTAGGTCAGTGTGTACCAGTGTTGGTCAGTGTGTACCTCTGTAGGTCAGTGTGCACCTGTGTAGGTCAGTGTGTACCTGTGTAGGTCAATATGTACCTGTGTAGGTCAGTGTGTACCTGTGTTGGTCAGTGCACCTGTGTAGGTCAGTGTGTACCTGTGTTGGTCAGTGCACCTGTGTAGGTCAGTGTGTACCTGTGTTGGTCAGTGCACCAGAGTAGGTCAGTGTGTACCAGTGTAGGTCAGTGTGCACCTGTGTAGGTAAGTGTGTACCTGTGTTGGTCGGTGCACCTGTGTAGGTCAGTGTGTACCTGTGTAGGTCAGTGTGCACCTGTGTAGGTCAGTGTGCACCTGTGTAGGTCAGTGTGCACCTGTGTAGGTCAGTGTGCACCTGTGTAGGTCAGTGCACCTGTGTAGGTCAGTGTGCACCTGTGTAGGTCAGTGTGCACCTGTGTAGGTCAGTGCACCTGTGTTGGTCAGTGTGCACCTGTGTAGGTCAGTGTGCACCTGTGTAGGTCCGTGTGCAGTATTCTACAAATTGATTATTGTAATTGGAAACAAATGGCACATATAGATGGGATATGCCCTACCTGTTTATTTACTATTATTTAGTAAATAATTAAAATAATTCTTCACATGATATTAAAAGGCTGAGGATATGGCAAAAACTACTTTTTGAAAGAAAACAATTTATTATTAAATAACAATGTGTGTTACATACAAGTAAGTACTGAAAGTTATTCTTCAACATGTTAAATTTGTGCAAATATTTTTTTTTTTAAATTTCTTGCCCTTTATTCTGGAAATTGATCAATGAAATTGATATTTGACCTGGATTTTCAGTATTATAATAATTATAAAACATTTTTTTTTAAATTATCAAATGCTTGTGCTAAGGGAAAAAACTCAAGTATTATTATCTGTTAAATTAACCTACTCGGTTACATCCCCTTATAAAATATATTGTGTAGAGATAATGACAATAGGTCTAATGATCATAAATTAAATTTAAAGAATTAACAAATGTCCATATAAATGACAAAAAATTGCGTGGTTTTAAAATGCAGCAAACAATTGAAAAAATAATTCGGAGGACACCAGTTGACTATAAGCTAACACAAATTATATTAAATTTTGTGATCATAAAAAATAGACGAAAAAAATAAATAAAGTTGGTTAATATAGTTTGAATTTAAATCTGTTTTTTTTTATAACTTGAAATGTGGTAAAGTTCTCTAAATAATGTTAAAATTTTTTCACATAACTTGTGGCTGTTTGGTACAGCATTTTCCTTAATTTTTTTCTAGGCTCGTTTTGTCTGTGTCTGTTTGTGGGTGTTTTATGCATTACTAATTAGTTTCATTCGATGCTATGAAACTTAGAGGAGTTGATAATAGTAAAGGGAAAGTTGTATTAAGTTGCCTTATTTCAGACCCCAATAGCCACAAAATCTATTAAAGGGAAACAATGCTTCTATTATCTTGCAAACACAACATTAAATTGGTTGTTTCCCTTTGTCTACAAAACAAAGAGTTGATTAAAAAAAAAGTCCATTAACAGCATCTATTAATATAGTTGTACTAAGCAAACCAAAAAGCAATTTCTTCTCTTAATTATTATTTTAAAGGCATACTAAAGCATGACACAGCTATAAAAAGTAATGTATTTAACATTATTAATATAATAATTCCGCCACCGGTAGTAAGTGATAATTTTTTTTTTTTTTTCTAAATATTCTAGATCTATTATAAAATATCCTTTTTTTTTTAGAAAAAAAACTGAGCTAAATTCTTAGCTCTAAATAATACAAGACTTATTTTCGTATCCTCAATAACGGCTTTTTACAACAATACCACAAAAATTCGTAGCTTGAAACAGCAGTCTACAACTATTCCTAAAAAATCATTTTACATTTTTACTCAATGCCTTGAACCACCACAAAATGAGAGGCACGTTTCTGCGAGCCGCATCCACTCCGGTTTTAGCGCTCAGTCGTGAGCGAACGGGGGCCCGCAGTGACGCCCCACCCCTCGACTCCCGTTACCGAGAGAGTGGGAGAATTCCAGACAAGGCAGGAATCTTCTTCCACCCAGGCGAATCAGAAAATATCGACCAACTCTCTATGGCCAATCTCATTGAAACGGTGCTTCGCTCACCCTGCCTAGCCAATCGATGTGGAGCCGTATTGCACGTGACCTGCCTGGCCAATCGCCAGTGAAGCTGCCGGGTCTCGCGCGTGAGGTGACGTCACGAATTGTAATCAATCCGGCGCAAGCGCGTGGTGTGAGCCTCAATAGCAAATCATTGTTACCAATTGAATGTTCTTGTAACGAGTGTCTTGAAATATCTTTTCTTTTCCTCTGCGACAGTGTTTCTTCCAGACTTTTTTTCTCCGGAGGGGGCACTTGATATTTGTATTATTATTTTTTAAATTTTTATACAACATTACAAGCATAAAGTTGTAGCCTGATAAGTTTTTTTTTTTACAACACCAGACAAAGTGCTAGCTTGAAATATTGGCCTAAAATATTATTTCTACAACCTAAAGGTTCAACTGGCCCGCCGGTCTACAGGAATAAATCTCCCCCCCCCCCGCCCCGCCCCCCCCCCCTCCCAGGAAAAAATCTCGGTGGCCCCCGGGAAAAATCCTCGGTGGTCCCCAAGAAAAAATCTCGGTGCCACCCCCCCCCCCCCCCAGGTAAAAAATCTCGGTAGCCCCCAGGAACGGAATGCGATGTGGCAGTCCTATTTGAGGTTTTATTTTTAAATTTTATTTACGATTTCATCATACCAACACGTAAAATTTCAGGCTTTGATGGAACAAATATGCACAATGAAAATTTCAATCTGGGATCGGGGGCCCCTTTTAAAATATTCCGGGACTCTTGGACACAGACTTACACCCCTGTACAACGGTCTTACCAGATATTTTTATATCCATTCCAGTGTTTTTTCCAGGCACATCTTCGGTGGAGGGGGGGGGGGGGGAGGGGCTCCGTCTCCCCGAACGAATTGGAATTTATATAGAAAATATATACTTTTAATAGTGTCCGCCGCGAAAATTTAAAGTGCCCCCTCCCCCTCCCTCCCGGAGAAAAAAGTCTTGAAGAAACACTGATCCACTCAGATGGTAGCGTTCAATCATTAGTGAATGAAGGCCCGTAGTGACGCCCCTCCCCTCGCGACCCGATACTGAGAGAGTGGATGAATTCCAGACAAGGCAGGAATCTTCTTCCACCCAGGCGAATCAGAAAATATCGACCACAACTCTGTGGCCAATCGCCTTGAAACGGTGCTTCGCTCACCCTGCCTGGCCAATCGCTGTGGAGCCGGTATTGCACGTGCCCTGCCTGACCAATCGCCATTGAAGCTGCCGGGTCTCGCGCGTGAGGTGACGTCACGAATTGTAATCAATCCGGCGCTAGCGCGTGGTGTGAAGCGATGCCAGTAGCAAATCACGCGCTCCTGTTCAACCTGCGCCAGACAGTGAGTGTTGTTTCGTAATGGTGTGTGGCCGGGGCTATGAGTGAGTTTTAAAGGCACATCATTTCGGATTTTTATATATATATATATATATATATATATATATATATATATATATATATATATATATATATATATATATATATATATATATATATATATATTTATATATATATATAAATAAATAAATAAATAAATAAATATATATATATATATATATATATATATATATATAATATAGAGCATGTTTTAAAAATTGGGCACATTTTCGCTCGTTTCGTTCCCCCTACACCAAAAACCTGGATACGCCTCTGTGTATATGTTGTGTTTACTACCCCTACACTTGAGCTAGTTTTGTTATCGCGCGTGGCAAATATTTGCCGCTCTCTTTTGGCGTGTACTTTTAAAGTACATTGGCTCTAGGTCCGCACAGTGGCGTAGCGAGGGGGGGGGGGGCGGTGGTGCGGACCGCACCGGGTGACACCATTTGGGGGGGGTGACACCAAGGCAAAAATTAGCAAAATATATAGAGAAAAATGATAATTCCACTTAATTAAGTGACTAATTCGAGCGTTAAAAAGTCTTTTAAGAACAAATTTGACAAATCCCGACAAGGGTGAAGGGGGGGGGGGGGTGCAAATCGAAAAGGTTGAGGGGGGTGCAAATCAAAAGTTTGAGAGGGGAGTGCAAATCGAAAATTGAAAGTTTGTCGCCGGGAAGGGTCGCTACGCCTCTGGGGGGTGACACCATTAAGTGCCGCACCGGGTAACACTAGACCTCGCTACGCCACTGGGTCCGCATAAGCGGATGGTGTTCTGTGATAAAAAAAAAACAACAACAATAGAGCAAGATGTTCATGCAACATATTATTTTGTTATACAATCAATGTTTTATTTACGTAGATCAAAATAGGTAAAATAAAAATTACAACGCTTTACTTTAAATACGAAGCATTCTTAATTTAATTTAATTTGATGTTTCATGATTTAGCTATTGAAAATAATTATGATCCTTCCAAGCATACACGTTATAACCTTATTAATAATTATTATTTAATCCATCCCTAAAATAAAACTAACAATACTTAACACGTATATCGAATATGTACTTTTAAAAAAAGCAACTTATATATATATATATATATATATATATATATATATATATATATATATATATATATATATATATATATATATATATATATATATATATATATATATATATATATATATATATATATATATATATATATATAACCTTTACATAACTATATATATATATATATATATATATATATATATATATATATATATATATATATATATATATATATATATATATATATATATATAGTTATGTAAAGGTTGTCTCTGGTAAAAATGTCACATTCAGGAAGCGACCCTGTAAACATAAACTGTGAATACCAACATTGTAGTGCACTGAACGGGGTCATGGCAAGCTTGTTTTTGTGCTTGTGGGTAAAGGCAGAGAAATAGGTCAGTGTTAGATGGATAGTCTGACAGTCCAGCTGTTAAGTCTAACTTCAGAACGGTAAGGGGTTATGGTTGCTCTTTTTTTTTTATTTTATTTTTTAAATAATTATTTCACCATTTTTAATATATAGTTATTATACTTTATAAATGAAACAAAACATTTTTTTTTACTAAATATTGCATTAAAAAAAAGTATGAAATAAGTGATGTAAAAATATGAGATAGATTTTGGAATTGTACGGTATAGGATTTTTTCCCCTAAAGTAGGCCTACATAGAAACTATAGTCGTGCAAAAAAACTATATTTTGATAAATCTCGACGTTTTACATCCCGCTGAGCCGGAAAAACTTATTTACGCAATTTTGTCTATACGTCTGTGTGTCTATGTGTGTGTGTGTGTGTCTGTGAACACGATAACTTGAATACCGTTTCAGTCATTTTGACGAAATTTCATATATATATATATATATATATATATATATATATATATATATATATATATATATATATATATATATATATAATATTATATAAAATGTGTAATACTATATTCATTTTTGAGCGATTTCCGGTTATCAGAAGTAGTACTTACACTACTTCCGTTTTCTCAAAAGGCAAAAACTTCAGTGCTGTTTCAGTTAGGCGTACGAAATTTCATACATAAGTATGCGCATGTTTCTCTCATATTTTAAACGATTTTATTTTCGCAAATAGAGTAAAGATGTACTTTACTCTATTACCTTACGAACACTATAACTTAAGTCATTTTTCAGTTAGGTAAACAGTATAGAATCTTATACTGTAATTACTTTCTATTTTTGAGTGACCTACGATGACCGGAAGTGGTACTTAACTATATTTCTGGTTCCTAAAAATAACGTTATCTTGAGTATAGTCTAAGTTAGGTGAGCGAAATTTCAAACATATGAAATGATCACTTCTACCTGACCGCTTTCTTCAAAATGTTTTACGTAGCTCTAGACTCGGTGACAATTCATTGTGCCATGTAATTGGCAAAACTAGATGTTTAACTTTAAAAAAATTAATCACTGATTCCTTTATAAACACTTATTTTCCGCTCTTTGTTTATGTTCATTTGGTGCGCAATTATTTTTTCTACTCGATTCTATTCTATTTAAAAAATATATACAATAGTTTAGGGGAGATCACTCCCGCTTTGTTTCATAAACTATATTTAGGTGAAATAAATTGTTATTCTTGGACACTATTCTAAAAATATCAAGATATTTAAAAAAAAAAAAATTGTTCAGATTTCACAGGCTTAAACCATGATGACAAAATATAACGTCGTTTCAAGGATTATTCCAAACATCGTGAGGAATCATCCACTTAGATGGACATCAGTGGTCAGTAGTGGCACCACAGATGAGGTGAAACCATTTGAGGATATCCCAGGTCCTAAAGGACTTTACAACATTCCATTCATCGGGTCCTTCTTTCACTTCAAGCCTTTTGGTAAGTATATAAAAACTAAGGGTTATTATTTGTTTACTTTCTCGCAAATATAATGTTTAAGTGGGGGGGGGGGGGGGGGGGGTTGCAAATCGAAAGTCTGAGGGGGGGGGGTTGCAAATCGAAAGTCTGAGGGGGGGGGGGGGGGGTTCAAAACGAATATTTGTCCCCGGGCGCCGGGAAGGATCGCTACGCCTCTGCATTCAAAGTATAGAAGTATTGCACTTGTGTAATCAAATCGAGAAAGATTATCACAAATCACGACGGTTTTTACCTCCCTGAGTCGGTAAAAGTTAGTTTTGCAATTTTGTCAGTGTGTGTGTGTATGATTGTGTGTTTGTGTGTGTCTGTGTGTGTCTGTGTCTGTGTGTTTGTGTGTGTCTGTGTGTGTCTGTGTTTGTGTGTGTCTGTGTGTCTGAACACGATAACTTGAGTACCGTTTCAGTTATGTTGACAAACTTTCATGTATTTTCGTATCAACTTTTGAACGATTTCTAACGTGAGCTCTACTGACTTGAACCCGGATTAACTCGAGACCTTCGGATTAGCAGTCTAGCAGTCTATCGTAGATCACATGTAAAATACAGCTCGTTAATACGACAAAACCCCGATACTTTCCTGAACGCCGTTTTTACACAGACCATTGTTCCGAATGGACATTTGCAAGCAGGTGACGATTGCCTGATTAGACTTTCAGTTTGGAGTGGGTTTTATTGACGACAATTTGTGGTTTGAGGAAAAACAATTTTTCTCAAAATGCGTAACGTACAACTTACCAGTGGAGTAGCGAGGTCGGGTGTCACCCGGTGCGGCACTTAATGGTGTCACCTCCCCCCCCAGAGGCGTAGCGACCCTTCCCGGGGACAAACTTTCAAACTTTCGATTTGCACCCCCCCCCTCAAACTTTGGATTTGCAGCCCCCCACCCCCTCAAACTTTCGATTTGCACCCCCCCCCCTCAAACTTTGGATTTGCAGCCCCCCACCCCCTCACCCCCCTAAATGGTGTCACCCGGTGCGGTCCGCCCCCCCCCCCCCGTTACGCCTCTGCAACTTACTACCAGTATAACCTGGTGCGTCGTGTCTATAGTTTTTTAAAAAAATTTTGCAGGTAAATTTACACCCCAGAAAACGCATAAGCTGTTTGAGAGTTTACACGAAAAGTATGGGCCAGTGGTTCGAGTCCAACTTGGAAGAGAATGGGTCATGTTGGAGGATGTTAAAGACATGGAAAATGTCTTCAGAAACGAGGGCAGATATCCAATAAGGGAAGTCAGTGATATTACCAAACTGATTTATCAGAGGCATGGATTCAAGTTGACGCTTAGCCACTTGTAATTACAAGCTTTTACATAGTTCGCAACGTCTGTTTGTTTGTGGGTTTGTGTCTCAAATTTGAAACACTTAAAATAGAGCGATATCGTTCTACCACGCTTTCCCAATTGTATATGGTTAAAGTTCCCTTTTCAAACCTGACGGTCTATAGGGCAAGTGAAGTAGAGTTCACTTGTTTCTGTGACCTCGCCATATGAAGAGATAGTGTGGTCAGCACTATGCCCAGCCCCCTTTACTTTCCCTAACGTGAGTTAGGTACCCATCAGAGTTGGGTGGACTCAGGGACGGTCTACTGACTTGAACCCGGATTCTATCTCAAGACTAACGGGTTAGCAGTCCAGCTCTCTACCGCTAGACCACTCCGTGCCATATATGTATTATTATTGTATATGGTTACAGCCGTTTTATTCTGTGACTTCAGGCAAGGAGAAGAATGGCATGCACTGAGGACCCCAGTCAACAAAAGACTTATGAAGGCTGACTCCGCCTATCATTACCTGGAGCCGCAGAACGCTGTAGCCGATGAATTCGTTCAAATGTTGGCCACACAAAAATTAGCACCGGAGAAAATGAAAGATCTGTTCCTTCGCTACGCTGCTGAAAGTATACAGGAAATTTAATTTATATAAATTACGTTCAGTGTTTCTTCCAGACATTTTTACCCCGGAAGGGGGGGGGGGGCACTTGCTATTTTCAGGGGGGGGGGGCACTTGATATTTTCAGGGGGGAGGCGGACTACATTTTCCGGGAGAGGGCGGACACTGGTAAAAGTATGTATTTTTGTATTTTCTATATGAATTTCCATTTCGTTCGGGGGGACGGCAGACTTCTTTCGGGGGGGGGGGGGGGGGGGGGGGGGGCAAAAAATTGTCTGGAAGAAACACTAATTACTTTATACATTTAAGCACTGTATTGTATTCCTACGTTTATTTCTAAACACGGAAAAAATAGTTTCCTTTTAAATTACTATCAGTTTTAAATTCGCTTTATCTTAAGTTAAAACACAGCTATCTTAGGTTTTTATAAAATTAAATATTTCCCAGCTTGAAAGAAGCTTTCAGGTTTTTTTTTATATAATCAACTTTTTCATAGATTAGGACTTAATGAAACAGATCTATCGCAAGTGTATTGTAAAATGAAATTTTCAAAGCTTTAGTAAAACAGATATTACAAGTTTGTACAAATGTAAATATTCAGTATTCTATTTTCTCTGTGCTGCCAACCAGACTAATGCTTCACATTTTCTACCCATGCCATGAATGCTAATAAAAATAATTTAGCAGTAATTTAGAAGAAAATACAATCATTTATAAACTCATGCCTCAGAAAGATCCTGCGAATTCACTGGCCTAAAACCATCAACTGCCAGTTGTAGAGATCCTCCAGAGAAAATGGAAATGGATGTGCCACACACTCAGGAAGTCTGTATCCAGCATAACAAGACAGGCCCTCACCTGGAATCCACAGGGCAGGAGGAGGAGAGGTAGACCAAGAAAGACCTGGAGACGTGAACTGGAAGAAGACACCAAGAAGATTGGATACACCTGGGGACAGTTGGAGAGACTAGCCCAGGACAGAGACGCCTGGAAAGCTCTTGTCAGCGGCCTATGTCCCAGGAGGGGCGACAGGCTAACCTAACCTAAACCAAATATATTTCTAAACGTCTTAGATGTGAAAAAAAAAAACACATCACCTACACCTTAACAATAGTGTTTCTTCCAGGTTTTTTTTCTCCGGGGGGGGGGGCAGTTGAAATTTTGTCGTGGGGGGGGGGGGGGGCGGTAGACTTTCTTTGGGGGGGGGGGGACACTGTTAAAAGTATATATTTTCTATATAAATTTCATTTCGTTCGGGGGGGGGGCGGTAGACATTCTTCGGTGGGCCCCCCATCCATAAAGAGATGCCTTGAAGAAACTCTGCTTAACACCTAAAATTAATTTTATTTAAAAATGTCACCATCCAGGTATAGGAGTGGTGACGTTCAATACCAGACTGGGTTTCCTGGAGCACTCCCCAGACCAAGAAACGTCTGAGTTTCTGGAAGCGACAAAACAATACTTCGCTATAACAGGTGCAATTATAAGTGGCACAACCTTTTCCTATAGATGGTACAGGAGCAGGATTTATAGGGATATGGAGAAGGCGATTTTTGCGATTCGGAAGTAAGCGAGCTTTAGATGCATCGTTTATGATAATGAATTATATAATGCGTGTCCCCATGTTGACAACTTCACGCGCGTTGTTTACTAGTCTATAGGAAGGGGTTTAAAAAAACAGCAACAGGTGACATGTTATGCACCTGATTACCAAATTTATTTTTTTTACTTTTCTTGCTGTACATGCTCCGTAGTTGTTTTTTTTTTTAGTTTAATTTTTTTTTTACTAAAGAATATTAGCAAGTGTAGGTTTCTATTCTTGGAAGGGTTGCTATCATCGGATGGGTTGCTCTCCTCCTGTGTATTGATATTCTCGGGTGGGTTGTTGGCTTCGGGCGGGTTGCTACACTACCCGACAAAGCCAATTCCTTTTTTCCAATCCTCGTTCAAAGAATAAATTTCAAAGATATCTATGATGTAGGCCTAATAGTTATACATTTTCTTATATACCTAAAATAAATGACTATTTCGCGTAAACTCTACAATACTTTTTCCGAAGAAATTCGGGAAAACATACTTTAAAAGCACAGGAAATAATCGAAAAGCGGAGGAAGGATGGGACATTGAACCCCGATGAACCGAACCTACTTCTCTCCCTTGTATCAGAAAAAGAAATGACCAATGAGGATATCAATAATTTACTTGCCTCACTCTATATGGCTGGGACAGATTCTGTAAGTTTATATCCACAGTTTCGGTATATTATAACCTGTTCGAAGTAAGCATAACAGTATTATAGGGGTCGGCGTGGTCGAGTCAGTAAAGTTCATGGTTTTTAAAGCGAAAAGTTTCAAGCTCATGGTTGCTAAACGTTGCTCAAAGTCTCGAGTTCGAACCCTCGTTAGCCGGGGACAGCCACTCTTCTAGGAGAGACAACTCCAAAATCAAACAACTGCTGCCTTGTAGTTTGATCTTGGTTGGACAAAGGCTATGGACGCAAATCCAAAAAGAAAAGCAGGCTGAAATCTGAGTCAATGGTCTCAATGGCGCATAACCAGTTGACACGTAACGCTTAATTGTGTTGGAGGAGGATCCCTTCCAGCACTAAAATTAAGAACGAAGAAGACAAAGACAATAGTAAATATAAATGTGCATTGTAATAACTGTCCCCAGACAGCGAAGAACCTGCAAGCATTCTTCTACAACTTGGCGAAAAACCCAGACAAACAGGAAATTCTGAGACGAGAAATTCTGGAAGTTGTGGGCGATTCAGGTCTTGTAGATGCTGCAGCACTCTCTAAGATGTCTTACCTGAAGCACTGTTTAAAGGAATCGTTCAGGTGAGATGTAATCAAACATCAAATAGACTTACAGATGAGATGTAATTAAAATCTAGGAGTCTTTTTCAGGTAAGATGTAATCAAACATCAAGGAGTCTTTCAGTTGAATTAAAATCAAGAGTCGTTCAGCAATATGTAATCAAAGTCAAGGCAACTTTCGTGTAAGATGTATCGAAATCAAGGAGTCATTTAGTTAAGATGTGACTAAAATCAATTATTTTAGGTAAAATGTAAGCAAAATCAGGGATTTTTTTCAGCTAAAATGCGAAGACAATTAACTGTACATTAATAGTAATTGCTCGATAGATCTTTATACTAGAGCAGGGGTCGCCAAACTTTTCAGTCCGAGGGCCGCATTAAGTATCAAATTTCAGTTCGGGTGCCAGTTTCTTCCAGGCATGTCTTTGATTTTTCTGGGCAAAGTTCCTCAGCCATCACCAACAAACGATTTTTCCTTGAACAATAGGATCTCAGCAGTCCGGATGAGAGGACTTCGCGGGCCGCATCCGGCCCGCGGGCCGTAGTTTGGAGACCACTGTACTAGAGGAAGACAAGACAGGATTTACTAGACGCTGGGACAGTATTAGAAACTAGTTAATGATAGCGTTGTGAGCTTTTATCTCTCTTCTCGATGTTAAAGAAATTACTAACTACTATTGCTGTACTGAAAAGTCGTGTTAATTTTTAAGCTATCCACAGCAGAGGCGTCAAGAGGCGGGGGAGGGAAATGTGGACCGCACCGGGGGGGGGGGGGGGGGGGGACACCAAGACAAAAAACTGCTAAATATATAGAATAAAAATGTTTTTTTTTCCAGTTCAGTGAATTAATATCTAGAGTTAAAAAGTATTTTAAGTACATTATTAGGATCCCGACTATAGAGAGGTGGATGACACCTTGACGTAAACATGCAAACTATAGAGAAACAATTCAACAAAAAGCTGTATTAACAACCGACTATATATCAACATCATTAATATTGAATGTGAACATTTAAAGCTTTTACCAGGAGGGGGGGGGGGGGGGGGGGGGGGCTAACACCAACTGCAACATTTACAGAGAAAAATAAAGGGGGGGGGGTGTCACCATGAAGTGCGCACCTGGTGACACCCAACCTAGCGACGCCACTGACCCACATATTTAACTTTCCTAACGTAGAGGAGTGGAGAGCTCTTGTCGACTTTCTCACTTGCACATGTACATAAAGCTTAACCGTTAATTTTCTAAATATCCACAGACTAAACTACCCAACAGCAACGGGTGTGAATAGAGCGCTGCCAAAGGACATTGTAGCCAGCGGTTATAGGATTCCTGCTGGGGTAAATCAGACTTACGTAACACGTTAACAATACAACAGTGAAATGTTTTGTTTATTATTATTAATCTTTAAAAGATGACGTCTTTATTTTTTTTCCTGTCAGTGACCAACACGCATAGGAGCGCGTGTTTCCATTTTTACAAGCTTTTATTTAGTTAGCAACGTCTGTTTGTTTGTTTGTTTGTTTGTTTGTTTGTTTGTTTGTTTGTTTGTGGCAGATCTTGTAATTCAATTTTGACCCACTTATAATGCAGCGATTTCGTTCAAACTTTCCAGATACGTTCAACATCAATGACAATACAATCTATCTATTTTTAAAATTTAATTAGATGTTTGGTCATTAAAAATTAATTAAAAGGGTTTGAAACTAAGGAGAGATAGCTAAAATTAAATCACTCGATAGATTACTATATTCGATAACAGAAGGGTAGATAACTAACTGAACGCTATCACTCGACCAGTGGTTCACGCAGAATGTTTACGGTAGTAGAGCCGGTCGACCTAGTAAAGGTTACTAGGGGAAGATTATAACGTTTTTAAACGATTTGAAAATAAGGGGAAGTAAAAACAATTCAGAATTTGTTGTCGTCTATAAAATATGGTCACGGACGAGAATCTCAAGTGCAGTCTCTACCACTAGGCCACGCCGTCACGTGTGAAAAATTGGCACATGATTAACCCCTCGTTAACTGCCATGTAGTTTGTTCTTGGTTGGACAAAGGCTATGGAAGCAAATCCAAAAAGAAAAGCAAGCTGAAATCGGAGTCAATAGCCTCAATGGCGCATAACCAGTTGACACGTAACGCTTGTGTTGGAGGCGTGGTCGAGTAGGCAAAAAGGTCATGCAGTGGCGTAGGCAGGGGGGGGGTCATAACCCCCCCCCCCCCCCATAGACCCCTCGGTATATATAAAAAGTATGAGGCTGGGTGCAAATCGAAAGTTTGAGGGGGGGGGTGCAAATCGAAAGTTTGAGGGGGGGGGGTGCAAATCGAAAGTTTGTCCCCGGGTAAAAATTGGACCCCCCCCCCCCCCCTTGAGACGATCCTGGCTACGCCACTGAGCTCATGGTTGATAAAGTCGAACAAAGTCTCGAGTTCAAACCCACTGGCAGATAAATCTCGATCCCCTTCAACACTAATAATTAAGAACGAAGAAGAAGAAGAAAGAAACCCCTCGCTACTTTACTTCAAAAATGTGTTTAAGTCCCAAGCTACATTAATTTAGTCATTTGCAATTCTTTTAACTACACCAACACCTCTCACCTGTATTACCCACCTGTTTTACAAACAGACAAAAATATTACTCAGCAACCCTCGAGCGGCCAAACTGTGCTTTGAAGACCCCGATAAGTTTATCCCGGAGAGATGGGAGAGGTCTGAAGACGGCCGCAAACAAGACACCTCGAGCAACATGGCGGTCTTACCGTTCGGTTACGGGCCACGCAACTGTATCGGCAGACGTTTCGCTGTTCAGGAGATTTATCTGGCCACATCCAAAGTGAGATTTTGACTCGGTATTTAAATAAAAAAAAATTAGCAAAACTTTGATAAAATGCTTTAGGTTATAACGGTGTTCGATATTGCTAAAAAGAAGAATGTTTTAAAGTGTGAAAGGTTATTAGTGAACTAAAATTTTATTTAACGTTTATTGTAAAAAATTTAACCAAAAACCTGAACGAAGTCCTACCATAGCACTAACCCTATATTCTGAGGCTAACTCTAAACTTGATTTTACAATATTACTGACAATCTTACACACCTATTTTTAGTTTTACTTCCAGACTTTTTTCTCCGGGGGTGGGGGGGGGGGGGGGGTGGGGACTTGATATTTTCTGGGGGTGGGGCAACATTTTCCGGGTGGGGGGGGGCGGACACTGGTAAAAGTATATATTATCTATATAAATTCGATTTCGTTCGGGGGAGCTGTAGACTTTCTCCGGGGATTGGGGGGGGGTGGGGGAGGGGCAGAGCCCCACCGATGAGATGCCTGAAAGAAATAATTTGCCTATATTCGGAAGAATCGGGAGCTATGGTAAGACTTGGATTAAGATTTGCATTGGGGCTTGGGTTGGAGTTAGCGTTGACATTTCATTAAATTTTAGTTCACAGTAACCTCACACACCCTGTTTAAAATACCAGCATTGTAGCATTGCCGGCCGGCGTAATGATTCATGAACCGGCGGATAAAATTGTAGGCAACTTTCGATGACATGTATTATGATGTATGTTTACAGGTTCTCCAGAAGCTGAAGATAGAGCTTGAACCAGAGTCATGGAATACAGAGTTTATCTACACAGTGTTTCTTGACACAGAGAAGCCACTCAGGTTTAAGTTTACAAAGATTCGCTAGAGAAAGTTGACTTTGAGAGACTAATCAGGTTTAAGTTTACAAAGATTCGCTAGAGAAAGTTGACAAAGTTGACACAGAGAAGCCACTCAGATTTAAGTTTACAAAGATTCGCTAGAGAAAGTTGACTTTGAGAGACTAATCAGGTTTAAGTTTACAAAGATTCGCTAGAGAAAGTTGACAAAGTTGACACAGAGAAGCCACTCAGGTTTAAGTTTACAAAGATTCGCTAGAGAAAGTTGACTTTGAGAGACTAATCAGGTTTAAGTTTACAAAGATTCGCTAGAGAAAGTTGACAAAGTTGACACAGAGAAGCCACTCAGATTTAAGTTTACAAAGATTCGCTAGAGAAAGTTGACTTTGAGAGACTAATCAGGTTTAAGTTTACAAAGATTCGCTAGAGAAAGTTGACTAATTATACATTTTCTTATATACCTAAAATAAATGACTATTTCGCGTAAACTCTACAATACTTTTTCCAAAGAAATTCGGGAAAACATACTTTGAAAGCACAGGAAATAATCAGGTTTAAGTTTACAAAGATTCGCTAGAGAAAGTTGACTTTGAGAAACGAATCAGATTTAAGTTTACAAAGATTCATCATAATAAGTCACATCATTGTGTGACAGTTTTATTTGCTTAAACTCAAATTAAAAAAAAAAAAGATTTCAAACGTCTTGTTTACACAACTGTTAACACAAGAAGTTTTAAAATCGAATTCACTGCCATGGCTGGGTCTTTTTTTTAATTATATACATTTACCATGACAATAGTTTTTACTATAAATTTGTGAAAAAATTTTATTATTTTTACCAGATGCAATTATTTGTACTTTATTGCACAGAAAAGATGTAATCTAATGTATAAACGACATAAAAAAATGTTATGTTCTTGCCCAATTTAAGGCTGAAGGTATTATTTCATAACAGCGTAAACTTGTATTTTTAAATACAATTGTACATTTTGTAAAATGAAATGTAGTACCCATGGGCATATCCACGTTTTCGAGTCAGAGGAATCGGGTAGTGCTAAAAAGCGTCATATGTATAAATATGTATGTATATATACCTTACTTTTTCTTGTAATTGTTCTATGTATGTAAAGAAATCTACACTATATGTTAAAGAATGTTTTAATAGCGTATCTACCCAGTGTTGAACACACTAACTAAAATATCGCATATTTATATTTCTAATTTATATTTATATTTCTCATCGCAATTTTAATAGGTTTAATGTAATGTAATGTAAACCTATGCGACAAACCTTTTCTCACAATAATTTATTATGTATACAAAAAGGTAAATAAAAACCAAATGACAATCATGCTTTAAATATTTTATTGTGAGATATGTTATGAGATAGTTTGTCTGCGATCAATTATCCTTGGTATTATTTGTCCTGATGTATTTTGTCCTGAAATATTTTGTTCATGATATTTGTTCGTGAGATCATTTGTACTGAGATAATTTGTCTTGAGATCATTTGCCCGTGAGATATCTTGTCTGAGATAATTTGTCCTGTCACCGTATACATACATACACACAAAACACACACACACACACATATATATATATATATATATATATATATATATATATATATATATATATATATATATATATATTATATATATATATATATATATATATATATATATATATATATATATATATACATATTTATGTATATATATATATATATATATTTATATATATATATATATATATATATATATATATATATATATATATATATTTATATATATATATATATATATATATATATATATATATATATATATATATATATATATATATATATATAATATTGTGCATTATTAGCCTTTAGTGTGCTGTAAGCAAGATGTCTATCCTGATGTGGTTAGA